GAGCTCTGGCGTGGGCTGGTCCATGAGGTCACGAAGAGTCGGAGACGACTGAACGAATGAACAACAAAATACCACCAATCCTATACTGTGCTTTGAATGCAGTCTAAGTTCTATGTCTAAGTTGAACCTTCCTCTCCACTGCATCCTTACTGGTGGCGAGAGGCACGCTGTCCACGGTGGCCGTGGCATCCCTCAGGGCATAGAGGATTTTGTCTGCCGGGACCAGCTCCTGGCTCTGCTCCACAATGCAACAGCCGACCTTCTCCAGGATCTCCTTCATCTGAGGAGGAACAAAAGACCGAGCTATCAAATAGAATCATAGACCCAAAGGACCAACTTCTCCTACCCCTTTCTGCCAGGCAGGAAGACACATAGAACAGAATCCTAAAACTGGAAGTGTCATTAATACTTTTTAAACTCTGAAAAGCATTTAAAGGGTTCTTTCATTTCATTCACAATGAGACAGAGTATACCACAGAGCAACACAGAGAAAGAAAGTAGACATACAGACTCTACAACTACATTGGGTACACAAATAAGGGGAATTACGTCTTACTCAACATTCTCACACATATATACACATTCATGCCTACATTCAAACATTACCATCTCTTCTTCCTTCTCCTTTGCTTGCTCCATCCATGTTCAATATCTACACAAATGACCAGCCACTGCCAGAAGGGACAGAGAGCTTCATCTATGCTGACGATCGTGCCATTACCACTCAAGCAGGGAGCTTTGAGATGGTAGAAGTTCTCCGAAGCTCTAGGTGCTCTTACTGCCTATTACAGGGAAAACCAGCTGATCCCTAATCCATCTAAAACACAGACATGTGCTTTCCATCTCAAGAACAGACAAGCATCCCGAGCTCTGAGGATTACCTGGGAAGGAATCCCACTGGAGCATTGCAGCACACCCAAATCCCTGGGAGTCACTCTGAACTGTGCTCTGACCTACAAGAAGCACTGCCTGAATATCAAGCAAAAAGTGGGTGCTAGAAACAATATCATACGAAAGCTGACTGGCACAACCTGGGGATCACAACCAGACACAGTAAAGACATCTGACCTTGCGCTATGCTCCTCTGCTGCTGAGTATGCATGCCCAGTGTGGAACACATCTCATCATGCTAAAACAGTAGATGTGGCTCTTAATGAGACATGCCGCATTATCATGGGGTGCCTGCGCCCTACACCACTGGAGAAATTACACTGCTTAGCCGGTATTGCACCACCTGACATCCGCCGGGAAGTAGCAGCCAATAGTGAAAGGACCAAGGCAGAGACATCTCCAGCTCATCCCCTGTTTGGGTATCAGCCAGCACGTTAACGACTTAAATCAAGAAATAGTTTTCTTAGATCTACAGAGACACTCGCTGGAACACCTCAGCAAGCGAGAGTTCAAAAGTGGCAGGCCCAAACCCAGAACCTCAACCAATGGCTGATACCAAATGAAAGACTCCCCCCTGGGCACACAGAAGACTGGGAGACTTGGAAGGCGCTGAACAGACTGCGCTCTGGCACCACGAGATGCAGAGCCAACCTCAAGAAATGGCGCTACAAAGTGGAGTCCACGACATGCGAGTGTGGAGAAGAGCAAACCACTGACCACCTGCTGCAATGCACCCTGAGCCCGGCCACATGCACAATGGAGGACCTTCTTGTGGCAACACCAGAGGCACTCCAAGGGGCCAGATACTGGTCAAAGGACATTTAATCAGCTACCAAGTTTGCAAAATTTGTGGGGTTTTTTTATCTGTTTGTTTGTTTTGTTCTGTTAGAAATGTAATACAATGTTCTGGTTGCGGATGACACGATAAATAAATAGCAGATGGCCATCTGGTTTCTGCTTAAAAACCTCCAGAGAAGGAAATCCGTTGTTTGCTTGCTACACAGCTCCAGTTGGGCTTATTGATGCCACACTGAGCAACTCACGCACCTGTTCTGGACTCTGGGAGACTCTGAAACCGGGGATGGACTCCAGCTTGTCCAGTGTGCCTCCAGTATGGCCCAGGCCTCTCCCACTGATCATGGGCACCTGATCAACAGAAAGGAAAGTCACTACAAAGACAGACTATGCAGTCAGAGAGCTTTATTTCTAGATAGAAGAAGAGCTTGGCACCAAGCTGGATACTGACCTTGGAAAAGTGCATTTCTTGGGTGCTTCTACACTGTGGAATGAATGCAGTTTGACCCCATTTGAACTGCCATGGCTCATTTTATGAAAAGGTTTAGCCTTCTCTGCTAAATGGTTCTGATTGCCAGTAGGATTGTGTACTGATTTGTTTTCAAAAATGGTCTTTGGTTTATTCATGTTGCAACTCAGAGTAAGCTTCACCTTGCTTCCAAACACCACCACACAAGAGCTGTAGTTTTATTGAGAAAAAATCCAAGTCAGAATAAAGAACAAGCATTGCAAAGGTCCAAAGATTAAGGTTAAATGCAGAATATAGTTCCAAAGATCTTCAGGTAAAAGCAGGAGACACAATCCTATAGACAAAGTTCAAACCAGAGTCCCAGGTACAAGCAAGGAAACATTTGCCCCATGAATCACAATGCAAGAAATCCCAAGCGTACTGCTTCCCAGGCTAAGATTATTCCATGAAGCTTTCAGGCTAATAAGCTACATTGAACTGACACTTTCCCTTGGTTTGCAAGAAGCCTAAACACCTTTCTAACATGAAAACATTACATGAAATCATTGCGATGACTTTTCACCGAGCTGGTGTCTCGTCTGCCGGCCAGGCGAGAACTCCGCCTGATCCGGAGATCGAGACGAGCTTGCCAGGTAGAGGTCACTGTCAAGGCTTTCAGTACTTTCAGTATCAGTGTGGGAAGGAGGTGAATGCCTCCCCACCTGTTTGCTATCTCCTTCGTTAAAATTCCTTTCTCTTGGGAACTGCTGTGTTGATGTTGACTCTGCACTGTCTGTGCTATCTGTGGGAGCCGCAGGCCCAGAGATCTGAGGCACAGAAAATGAGCCAGGAATCTGAATCCCAACATCCTCATCCTCACAGAACATCTCCACCACAACAATTCAGCTGGTTCGGTTGGTCTGGACGCCCATAATGGCATGGGCCCCACCACTATTTTTTTCCGGCTGCAATAGAACAGTGGCTGTTGAAAAATGGATGCTTTCGGTTTATTTCGGCTACATGAGGAATGCAGGAAGTACAGGAAGGGAGATAGCCACTAGAAGGGAAAAGATCCCAGAAAGGGTGTTTTCTTAAGCCCTTGGCTTAAACCCAGGTCTCCTTGAAAGACAGAAGGGAAAGGCTCCCAGAAAGAGTGGCATCTTAACTCTGATGCTTTTGATCCAGGTCTTAATGAAGGATATAAGGACAAATGATCCCAGAAAAAGTGGTATCTTATCTCTGATGCTTTTAATCCGGGTCTTAATGAAAGGTATAAGGACAAACGATCCCAGAAAGAATGATATTGTTGTGGCTGAGCTAGTTTCTGATGATGAGGATGATGGGATTCAGATTCCTGTTGGGTTTCAGCTTCCTGGCTCTTTGTCTGTGCCTCAAATCTCTGAGCCTGCTTCTGAGGTTCTCACAGACAGTGCAGTGTCAACACAGCTGTTTTCACCAGAAAGGAATGTTAACGAAGGGAATAGCGAGCAGGTGCCTTCCCACAATTATACCAAAATTGCAGATAAGGATTTGACTTGAGAAGCTCGCCTTGATCTCTGGGTCAGGCAGAGTTCAAGTCTGGCAAGCAGACGAGAGGCTAGCTTGGTGCAAGGTCATTGCAATGCTTTTATGATGCTGAGAGCCTAATGTTTTGATGTTAGAAAGGTATTTAGGCCTCCTGGAAACTCTGTGAAAGTGTCAGTTCAACGTAGCTTATTAGCCTGAAAGCTTCATGGAATAACCTGAGCCTGGAAAGCAGTACGCGTGGGATTTCTTGCATTGTGATTTTTGGGGCTAAAGTTTCATTGTTTGTACCTGGGGCTCTGGTTTGAACTTTGCCAATAGGTGTTGTGGTTCAACAACAACAGCATGATGGGGATGAGAGTGAGAGTGCAGAGAGTGCAGCTGATGTTGGCTTTCAGTTTTCTCAGTCACAGCCTGTATCTGTAGAGAGGCCGGAGTTCTCACAGGAAAGGAATGCAGATGATAAGACAGACGCTGAGAACCAGGGTCAAGGTGCCCAGGTGTTGAGACGGAGCCCACGGATTGCGGCCAAGTGTTGAGATCATCAGTTTGGTGGGAAAGCTGATTGTTTTGATGTTTAGTGAATATATGCTCTGCTCTGGGGATTTTTGGGTGTCAGTTCCAACGTTGCTTTATGGCTAGCTCCGGCTAATGGCCTTGGGGAAGGCTGCTTCATGCTATTTCATGGACTTTCTTCATGCTATTTCATGGACTTTATACTGAACCTGTGCTTTAAGTCTCCTGCTTTGGCAATATGGATTATATTGGATTTTAACCTGTATTATTGATCTTTTCACTGCTTATGAACTGCCTTTTGTTTAGAAACCTCACAATAAACTATATACCTCACAGCTGTGGCTGGTTTGTTGTAGAGAGCAAGGTGAATCTTATTCTGAGACACAACAATAGGATTATGTCTCCCGCTTTTACCTGAAGATCTTTGGAACTGTATTCTGCATTTAACCTTAATCTTTGGGACTTTACAATGCTTATTCTTTATTTTGACTTGGATTTTTTCCCTCTATAAAACTACAGCTCTTGTGTGGTGGTGTTTGGAAGCAAGGTGAAGCCTACTCTGAGTTGCAACAGATATCTTAACTCTGGTGCTATTAATCCAGTTCTTAATGGAAGATATAAGGACTAACAAGGCCTAAAATGATGAGAAGGTTATATTTGTGTACGCATTTGATTCAATTTCTTCTTCTAAGATTAAGTCCTGTTTTGTCATCCCAGCATGCTAGCTAAGTGATTCTGGGATATGTAGTCCATTTTTTTCCTACTGTGGTTCAAATGCCCCTTAGACAGCATAAAGCCATAAGCAAAGTAGCCAACTTGATCCGATGGGTCTGTCGTTAATACAGCCCCAGAACGGAAAAGCTTGGAAGCATTTGGGACTCACCTTGCACCCGCAGGCAGCCAAGGCAGGGGCCAGGGGCAGGCTGACCTTGTCCCCCACACCCCCCGTGGAGTGCTTGTCCACCAGCAGCCCCCGCCATTCCTCCGGCCACTTAAGGACCCTCCCTGAAGTAGCCATCTCCCGGGTCAGCGCCAGCGTCTCCTCTGGCTCCATGCCCTTCAGCCAGGTGGCCATCAGCATCGCTCCTGCAATCACAGGATCAGAGGAGTTGGAAGTAGCTCCAAGGGGCCACCCATTGATAAATACTATAATAATACCCCCCAAAAAACCCACTTTATTTATATTCCGCCCTATCTCCCCAGAGGGACTCGTGGTGGATTCCAAACATAAAAGGCAAACATTCAATCTATACAAAAAAAAATATAAGACTGATAATGACATAGGAATGGAACAATGGATGACGAATCTGGATCATGTTTTTAGTGAATGGTTATCATAGTAATTGTGTACTAATTTTGTATTAGATTAGGTTATTATATTGGTGTTGAATTCTGCTGTGTTCTGTGTCTTGTGAACCGCTGTGAGTCGCATTCGGGCTGAGAACAGCGGTATAGAAGCAAAGTAAATATATATATATATGCACAAACAAACACAAATATACACATATACTCACATACATATAGATACACACACATATACATATCCACATAATCTTCTTAGGTGATCCCTTGTAGTCCGAGGATGCTGGTCCTCCAAGGTCGGTGTTCTGTCGGTGCGTCCGTATGTGACTGTGGAGCCCTCTTCTTGACCTGCATCTTCTCCCGCAGTGAGGTCATTGGTTTCCAGGTAGAAGGCGGTCCCGGTCGGGGTTGGCTTGATGTGCCTTCCTCTTGGCACCTTTCTCTCTTTCGCCCTCCATTCGTGCCTCTTCAAATTCTGCAGCACTGCTGGTCACAGCTGACCTCCACTGGAGCGCTCAAGGGCCAGGGCTTCCCAGTTCTCCGTGTCTATGCCAGAGTTTTTAAGGTTGGCTTTGAGCCCGTCTTTAAATCTCTTTTCCTGCCCACCGACATTCCGTTTTCTGTTCCTGAGTTCGGAGTAGAGCAACTGCTTTGGGAGACGGTGGTCGGGCATCCGGACAATGTGGCCGGTCCACGGAGCTGATGGTGGAGGACCATCGCTTCAGTGCTGGTGGTCTTTGCTTCTTCCAGCACACTGACTTTTGTCCGACTGTCTTCCCAAGAGATTTGCAGGATTTTCCGGAGGCAGCGCTGATGGGATCATTCCAGGAGTTGCATGTGATACCTGTAGACAGTCCACGTTTCGCAGGCGTACAGCAAGGTTGGGAGGACAACACCTTTATAAACAAGCCGCTTGGTCTCCCTATGGATGTCCCAGTCCTTAAACACTCTCTGCTTCATTCGGAAAAATGCTGCACTCGCAGAGCTCAGGTTGTGTAGTATTTGGGTGTCGATGTTGACTTTGGTAGAGAGGTGGCTGCCAAGGTAGCGGAAATTATCAACATTTTCTAATGTTACACCATTAAGCTGTATCTCTGGCATTGGAGAGGGGATAGCTGATGTCTGCTAGAAGAGAACTTTGGTTTTCTCGATGTTCAATGACAGGCCGAGCTTCTTGTATGCTTCTGCAAAGGTATTTAGAGTGCCTTGTAGATCTTCTTCTGAATGGGCACAGATGATGTTGTCATCAGCATACTGGAGTTCTATAACAGATGTTGTAACCTTGGTTTTGGCTTTCAGCCTGCTGAGATATGCAGAACTAGGCACAGGGTTATTCCAAAGCAGAAAAGAAATGTTGTACAATAGAAATATTGTAAATAAATACATAATAAATATCAGGGTTTGGGTTTTATTTGCCTAAGGGTAGTAATACTAAAGGGGATTATTGGTAGCATCACTGCCGAAAGAGGATAATTAGAAGGTATGTTTTCCACCCCAATTGCTCCTCGTTTTAGGACTTATCCTTCTAGCCTCATCCCATCCCCTCTACAGATGCCCTGCCATTGATTGTCCTCACCAATTTGCACATCTTGCAACTCTCCTTGGGTCACAGCCTTCACAAAATAGGCAATTTCCTCCTCCTGCAGCTTCTTGCCATCTCGCTTCTTCTGGATGATGTCCAGTATGCTGGGTCGGCTGCTGCTCACACTGGGGTCCATGGGGTCCATAGGGCCGCATTCTGCAATGGCAAGATGACACATCAACCATGTAGTGGACTGCAAACCCCAGCTGCAGTTCCTGGTCAGTGCGAGAATTTTGGGATTTGCAGTCTACTGATATCTGGAAGTCTTAAAACAAAGATTGTTATTGAGCCACGGTAATCCCCCACCCCCAAAGATTTACAGTTCACCAAGTGCTCAGAAATAAATATTACATTTTTCCTTTTAAAAAAAACCTTTCCAGATTTGCGCAAGCTCAAGGCATCAGGAGATCAAGACCAAACCAGACTCCAAGCAGAGGCACAACACCGTTGCTCAGATGATTCATTGGAACTTGTGCCACAAACACCATCTGCCTGCCACAAAGAACGGGTGGGAATGATGTCGAGCACCCCCCCCAAAATAAGGGATAGTGACTTATAGTTCTGCAAAGGACAAAGGTACCAGACTGCACAATAGGGGTTAAGTCTTGGTCAGTTTGTCAAGGCCTTAACAACAATGAGGACCCCATGAAACTTTGGAAATAGCTAGACCTTGGGGTCTCTGCCTCTCTCTCGAGAGAGAGAGAGCTGTAGTTTTCCAAGGACCATGGGACCAGCTTCCATCCCAGCGCTGCAGGGCTTTGCGTCTTGGCCCAGTGGAACTCCATAGACTCCCTTTGTGGCTTTTTGAATTCTGCTACATTCCTGGACTTCACTCTCTTCAAGGACTCGCTCTCTCCCCATGAACTTTCTCCAAGACAACTTATGAATTCATGCTGTGTCCTGATATTGTCTGCTTTTTATAATTGGTATTATTAATCTCTCTCTGGGGTCCCGGATGGGAAGATAGCTGCATGTGATTTCCCTGTGTATAATTCCTATATGTACGGGAACCCCCTGGCCTTCAGAAACAAAAGACTGAAACCTTCCCCTCTGCTTTTGTTTACTTAGCATTAACCTCAGGCTGCCATCATTGTTCTCCTGTCTCACAGCCAGGAAGGATCAGGACACATGTTGACCCTTTGTCTCACAAGAGCACATGGCATTCCTTTGTTTAAGGACCCCTTTCCCAGATTCCTTTGTGCTCCCTCATCCCGCCTCCATTTCTCCTGATTGGCTGTCGCCACCAGGTGGCAGAGGTCTCCCCATTGGTTCCTACGGACCACTGGAGCCCATCGGCCAATCATGGCAGGGAACAACAGGGAAGCTGGGGCGGGGGGTTTGAACTCTGCAAATTTGAATTCACTATAAATATGACTGCATTGGTGTAATCTCCTCATGCTTAGCTTGGCGAATGATTGCAGCTTTGCATCCGGTTTCAGCTGAATCGCATTAAACTTCAATGGCTCTTCTTCAACTGGTGAGACTTTTCATTGGGAAATCAGGGGAAAATATGGGATGCTTCTCTGTCTCGCCAGGGAAAAAGAACTCTTTGATGAGTCTAATTGGTCTCTGCCTCCTGGCAAAGACCCCTAAATTTTAGCTCTATAACAGGATCACAAGCTGGGAAAAGTTACAGAAAATGAGCACGCCAAACTCCTCTGGGACTTCCGGATTCAGACAGACAGAGTTTTGGAGCAAAAGACTCCTGACCTCACAATCGTGTTAAAAAACAAAGTATGGATCGTCGATGTCACAATCCCAGGCAACAGCAGGATTGCAGAGAAACAACTAGAAAAGCTGACACGATATGAGGATTTAAAAATCGAACTGCAAAGACTCTGGCACAAGCCAGTCAAGCTCGTCCCAGCGGTGATCGGCACACTGGGTGCAGTGCCTCAAGACCTTGGCCTGCACTTAAACACAATCGGCGCTGACAAAATCACCATCTGCCAGCTGCAAAAGACCACCATACTGGGATCTGCATGCATTATTCGCTGATACATCACACAGTCCTAGACACTTGGGAAGCGTCCGACGTGTGATCCAATTCAACAGCCACCAGAGTGTCTGCTGTGGACTCATCTTGTAGTGTTTCAAATAATAATAATAATAATAATAATAATAATAATAATAATAATAATAGAAACTGGAAAAGCTGACACAATGCTAGGATTTAAAAATCGAACTGCAAAGACTCTGGCACAAGCCAGTCAAGGGGGTCCCAGTAGTGATTGGCACACTGGGTGCAGTGCCTCAAGACCTTGGCCTGCACTTAAAAACAAAAGGCGCTGACAAAATCACCATCTGCCAGCTGCAAAAGACCACCATACTGGGATCTGCATGCATTATTCGCTGATACATCACACAGTCCTAGACACTTGGAAAGCGTCCGACGTGTGATCCAATTCAACAGCCACCAGAGTGTCTGCTGTGGACTCATCTTGTAGTGTTTCAAATAATAATAATAATAATAATAATAATAATAGTAACTGGAAAAGCTGACACAATGTTAGGATTTAAAGATCGAACTGCAAAGACTCTGTCACAAGCCAGTCAAGGGGGTCCCAGTAGTGATTGGCACACTGGGTGCAGTGCCTCAAGACCTTGGCCTGCACTTAAACACAATAGGCGCTGACAAAATCACTATCTGCCAGCTGCAAAAGGCCACCCTACTTGGATTTGCACACATTATTTGCTGATAAATCACACAGTCCTAGGCACTTGGGAAGAGTCTGACATGTGATTTAATACAACAGCCAACAGAGTGATCTTGTTTGCTGTGCACTCATCTTGTTATATATCAAACAAGAATGTATAATATACATAGCTGTCCCCACCACGTGTTGCTGTGGCCCAGTCTGTGTATATGTGTTTTGTGTGTGTATATATTTATATATATGTATATGTGTGTGTGTCTGTGTTTGCATATGTGTGTGTGTGGTTTTGTGCATGCATTGTAATGTATTTTTTGTTTTTTGGCATTTTAAGTCTCTTCTTGTCGTTTTTCAGTGTTTTAATGAGTGATGGTGACTCCTTGGATTAGTAGGTGTCTTGTGTCCAAATTTGGTGTCAATTCGCCCAGTGGTTTTTGAGTTATGTTAATCCCACAAACGAACATTACATTTTTATTTATATAGATAATAGTAATGATAGCAATATAGAGCTCCTATAAAATGTGTAACATGGAATTGTATGACAAAATCCTCTAAAGAAACTTTTGAAAAATCTTTTGTCTGCAGACTTACCAGATGATGCTGGGAATTGACTAGTGGCCCTCTCTCCAAACTGGGAGGCTACTGGTGGAAGGAGGCCCAGTGGGCACCAGGATGGAAAAGGCACATCTCCTTTCTTCCCTCTTTCTCCCCTTGCTTCCTTCCTTCCTTCTGTCTCTCCATTGCTCTTTCAACTCTCCCCATTGGCCTCATTCCCAGCTTATCAAACACACCCCCATCCCTCCCAGTTCACTGGAGGACAAACCAGTTGTGACACGGAGACCCTTTGCCAACCCTTAGCACCCAAATGAGTAAACAAGGCACGGCATGAGAATAAGCTCTGCTGATTTTGCACCGAAGACTTCCAAAAGTCCCAAAACTCATGCCAATCCAACTATCAATCTTAACAGATCTTCACAGATTAGAGAGATGACGGACCAACACTAGCACAAGAAAGTTAAACTTAGGCAGAAAAAGGGGAAATGCAAAGAGACAGAATGGGCACCACAATTCAAGAGAGATATTGACAAGCTGGAATGTGTCCAGAGGAAGGCGACTAAAATGATCAAGGGTCTGGAGAACAAGCCCTATGAGGAGCGGCTTAAGGAGCTGGGCATGTTTAGCCTGAAGAAGAGAAGGCTGAGAGGAGATATGATAGCCATGTATAAATATGTGAGAGGAAGCCACAGGGAGGAGGGAGCAAGCTTGTTTTCTGCTTCCTTGGAGACTAGGACGCAGGGGAACAATGGCTTCAAACTACAAGAGAGAAGATTCCATCTGAACATGAGGAAGAACTTCCTGACTGTGAGAGCCGTTCAGCAGTGGAACTCTCTGCCTCGGAGTGTGGTGGGGGCTCCTTCTTTGGAAGCTTTTAAGCGGAGGCTGGATGGCCATTTGTCAGGGGTGATTTGAATGCAATATTCCTGCTTCTTGGCAGAATGGGGTTGGGCTGGATGGCCCATGAGGTCTCTTCCAACTCTTTGATTCTATGATTCTATGATTCTATGAATTCCTGGCTCGACAGCAGGACATGTGGAAAAGTTAAACACGAGCCAACAATGTCATGCAGTGGCAAAAAAATGCCAACAGGATTTTGGCCTGCATCAAGAGGAGTCTAGTGTCTGGATCCAGGAAAGTCATGCTCCTCATGCTCTATTTTGCCTTGGTTAGACCACATCTGGAATATTAGATCATTCGGTTCCCTCTAGCTACCGCCCAGTCACAAATCTTCCGTTTCTGGGCAAGGTGGTTGAGAGAGCAACAGCGGAACAGTTGCAGCAGTTCCTCAATGACACAGCCGGACTCGATCCCTTCCCGTCCGGCTTCTGTAGTGGGCACGGAACGGAGACTGTGCTAGTTGCCATCACAGATCAGCTTCTTACTTACTTTACTTAGGCGATCCCTCGCTTTCTGAGGATGATTGTCGTCCAACATTCTTGTGGGTCCGTATGTGGCTGTGGAGCCCTATTCTTGCTCTGCATCTTCTTCCGCAGTGAGGGCATCGGTTTCCAGGTGGAAGGCGGTCTCGGCCGGGGTTGGCTTGACGCGCCTTCCTCCTGGCACGTTTCTCTTTTTCACCCTCCACTCGTGCCTCCAAATTCTGCAGCACTGCTGGTCACAGCTGACCTCCAGCTGGAGCGCTCAAGGGCCAGGGCTTCCCAGTTCTCAGTGTCTATGCCAGAGTTTTTAAGGTTGGCTTTGAGCCCATCTTTAAATCTCTTTTCCTGTCCTCCAACATTCCGTTTTCCATTCTTGAGTTCGGAGTAGAGCAACTGCTTTGGGAGACGGTGGTCGGGCATCCGGACAACATGGCCGGTCCAGCGGAGTTGGTGGCGGAGGACCATCGCTTCAATGCTGGTGGTCTTTGCTTCTTCCAGCATGCTGACGTTTGTCCGCTTGTCTTCCCAAGAGATTTGCAGGATTTTCCGGAGGCAGCGCTGATGGAATCGTTCCAGGAGTTGCATGTGACGTCTGTAGACAGTCCACGTCTCACAGGCATAGAGCAGGGTTGGGAGGACAATAGCTTTATAAAAGCACCTTGGTCTCCCTACGGATGTCCCGGTCCTCAAACACTCTCTGCTTCATTCTGGAAAATGCTGCACTGGCAGAGCTCAAGGCGGATCAGCACTGCTCATGTTATTGGACCTCACAGCAGCATTTGATACGGTCAATCACAATCTACTAACCCACCGCCTAGCCATGACTGGGGTGAGGGGGATACCCCTTAAGTGGGTGTCCTGCTTCCTCCAGAATCGGGGACAGTGTGTGGTGAGGAGAGGGATGGTTTCCGAGAGGTCTCCGCTAGTATGTGGGTCTCCAGGGACCCATTCTCTCTCCTCTATTATTTAACATCTATATGCGACCGCTTGCCCGACTGGTGCAGAGCTTTGGGCTTGAGTGCCACCAGTACGCTGATGACACTCAGCTCATTCTGAGGATGGAGGGCCGGCCGGACTCTGTACCCGAAAATTTCCATCAGTGCCTTGAGGCCGTTACTGGATGGTTGCGTGCCAGCAGGTTGAGGGTGAATCCAGCGAAGACGGAGATCCTTTGGCTGGGCCGTCCGGGTGGGAGGGAGATCCAGCTGCCTACCCCGGATGGCGAGACACTACGTCCGTCACCTTCTGTAAAGAGTCTTGGTGTCTGGGTTGTTTTAGGTTTTTCCGGGCTGTATGGCCATGTTCTGGAGGCAATTTTTCTCCTGACGTTTCGCCTGCATCTATGGCAAGCATCCTCAGAGGTAGTGAGGTATGTTGGAAGTAGGAAAAATGGGTTTATATATCTGTGGAATGACCAGGGTGAGACAAAGGACTTTTGTCTGCTGGGGCTAGGTGTGAATGTTTCAGCTGATCACCTTGATTTGCATTCAATGGCCTGGAAGCATTCACACCTAGCTCCAGCAGACAAGAGTTCTTTGTCCCACCCTGGTCATTCCACAGATATATAAACCCATTTTCCTAGTTCCAACAGACCTCACTACCTCTGAGGATGCTTGCCATAGATGCAGGCGAAACGTCAGGAGAAATGCCTCTAGAACATGGCCATATAGCCCGAAAAACCTACAACAACCCAGATTTTTTTTTTCTGATGAGCAGCCAGTTCTGACTGTGCCCTCTTTAACGCAACCAGGACAGCATGTGTTTTGGATTTCAACCCAACAGTTGCAGAACCTTGCTTGACAGCCTCCATTGCATATTCAATCTGGTGAATTCGGCCCTGGGGACTCCGAACAGGGACGTCATTATCATACTGGTTACGGAACCAGCCATGACAGTGAAAGTGGCGCTGAACTGCATTCATTCTCCTTAAGGACCAGCATGAGTTGGAAAAGACTCTGAAGCAGCAACAGAACATCTCCACACCCCTTTCCAGGGAAGTCAGTCAGGGTCCCTGAGAAGGAGTTTGGAGGAGAGCCATTGGGGCGCCGGGCACCTCTCCCCGGGCCACATTCTTTTAAACAGTTCACTGTCCATCCCTTTTGGGAGACGTCCAGAGAAGAAGCCCCCTCCACTTCTTTGGGCCACTGGAAACCTTGCCAAAGCGCTCTCCCAATGCTCAACCAAAACCTGCCCTCCACCCTCTTCTCCCCAAACCGAATACGCCTGGTTCCTCCTGTCCCTCCTCACCTGCTTTTGCCATCATGAGGATCTCCAGCAGCACGGCACAGACTTGCAAAGTCACAATACAATTCCCCGAAAGGCCTGCGCTTGCCGAACCTTGCCCTCTTGGCACAGGGAAACATTTCGAGGAAACTGGCTGGGCATCCAACCAAGAGGTTTTGCAAGAGGAAGGTTGTTTGCTACCCTTTGTGGTGCGGACTTTCTGCAAGGATCTAAGGATTGCCATGTCGAATCAGCCCAGCTCTGTCTCCACTCTGGACTCAATCCCACGGACCAGCTGAACAGGTTTCAAGCATCCTTCTTAGAAACGTTTTATATGCTTTCCTCACCTGTTTAGACTTCACATTTTACAAGTTGGTCGAGTTGACCTCTTCCCATGTGGGGTGCGGCATACATACAGGAAGAGTCAAACAATACAGCTTTGTCCCCAAGTTTTTAAACCATTGGTTCCCAACTTTCGGGCCTCCAGGTGTTTGGGACTTCCAAATGAATGAATGTACAATAATCCCTTGACTTGACCAATTTTTGAACAATGTCCTCAGAGGCACTTTATTTCATTCATCAGTGCAATCAACCCAACTTTAACCTCCGGATCCCCTATCCAGACATATTACATTGCAGTCACACCCAGTGTTTAAAATGTTTAATCCCATTTGAATTGGCCCTGCTCACAGTGTTGATATCGGCAGTGACCCCCCCCCCCCCCGCCCAGACTCTCTAAAACATGGTTCAAAACCAAGGAATTTGTAGTTCTCCCAAGGACACCAGGGTACTCATTATGTACAGAGCATTTATATATATATAGATGGGAAGCCACCTTTTCGTGACCCCAGCATGACAAACTCTTGGGAAATTCCTTCTTATTTCCTGAAATGAATTCCCCATTGACCTAAGGACTAATGATCCCATAATCCCCTATCTTTCCCCCATGTGGGAACCTAAGGCTCTTTCCATGCCCCCATGGCCCCACATGGCAATGCCCCTGTAATCCACACTTTATGGACTTTACTATGAACTTTTAGCAACTTTTTCTTCCTCAAACCTCATGGATTCCCACGATGATATTTAGACCTTTAATGAACTCTTGGTGGGTGGGGATGGGTTGATATGAATTCCTTTCCCTCTTTATGAATGTATGCCTTATGAACCCCATATATGTGTCTATATAAAATATGGGAAGCCACCTTTTCATGACCTCAGCATGACAAACTCTTGGGAAATTCCTTCCTATTTCCTGAGATGAATTCCTCATTGACCTAAGGACTCCAACAAAAGACTTATTGCATGATAATAACAATGGTGCCTCCTGAGTCTTGGTGCATGGCTGCTCAGGAAGGCACCCCCTGGTGAACATGATCATTCATCCATCATGCCTTCAGGGAAGATCCAGATGCCCCATTCGTCTCACCCATTGTCTTTGCATCCTCGGCTGATACCAACGCATAGATAGCATCATTTGATCCCATATCTTGTACTAGTGATTATCAAGGCTTGGCAAGCCGCACCAGTCACTTTGGTATATCTCACTCCTCAAGACAATACAAGGCCAGCTTGAGGAATCTTCGAATTATCGCCGGCAATTGGACAAACATTAAGCAACATTAATCCACTCATTTCCCTCTCAGTTCTTTGTTTCCTGCTTGTACCGCCTCCTCGCTCCTCATTGTCTGAGAAGCTGAAGCAGTACTAGCTCTCCTATTGGCTTAGGTACACCTAAGCCAGCTGTGCCTCCCCTCCAGCGGATGACTCTAACCAATCAGAGCGAAGCCTGCGAGGGGGCGGGGGGGGGGGGAGTTTGAATTTGACAGTTCTGTCTCTCTATAAAAATACACTGTTTTGCCTTGTATGGTATGTCTGCTTGACGAATGATTGCAGTATGACATCCTTTCGAACTGGATCGCAATAAAACAACTTGATGGCTTTTCTTCAACTTGGTGAGACTTTTATTGGGAAAAATTAGGGAAAATTCTTTGGGTGCTTCAGGTCTCGCCAGGGTAATGGACTCTCCTTCTCGGTCTGGCCAGTCTCTGCTTCCTGGCAAAGACCTCTAAGTTCCTGCTCGATATCAGTGTCTGACCTTTGTTAAATGTTATGATTTTGTATTGTTGATGTGTTATTTATAATTGGTTTCTGTATTGTATTTCTATTTTTATTTTTTTACATTCTATTGCTGTGTTTTCTTATATTGATGTGTTGTGTTGTTGGGCTTGGCCTCATGTAAGCGGCCCCGAGTCCTCATGGGGAGATGGTGGCAGGGTATAAATAAAGATTATTATTATTATTATTATTATTATTATTATTATTAACTCCCAGAAATCCCAGCCAGCTTACCAGCAATTTGCAATTTGTTTCATATTGTGTCATATTCATATTCAGAACATATTATAAAGAACAAAAATAACTTTCTGGCCTTGCATACCACATTTTAGTGCAAATATTAAGACACAAATAGCGTTCAAAGCTGTTAGGAACTGTGGGATCTGAATTCCAAAACACCCGCAGTGCTCTCTGGACCATCCTCCAAAATATTGGGTTCCCTAACAAATTTGTGAACATCCAGAGGCTCCTCCATGATGACATGATGGCAACAATCTTGGACAGCAATGGCTCCCAAAGTGACCCATTTAAGGTGGAATCAGGTGTCAAACAGGGATGTGTTATTATTGCCCCAACCTTATTTTCCATCTTTATCGCTATGATACTTCATCTTGGCTTGTTGTAGGTTTTTCCGGGCTATATGGCCATGTTCTAGAGGCATTTTCTTCTGATGTTTCGCCTGCACCTATGGCAAGCATCCTCAGAGGTAGTGAGGTTTGTTGGAACTAAGAAAAAGGGGTTTATATATCTGTGGAAAGTGGAAGGCAAAGGAAGAGGGGCCGACCAAGGGCAAGATGGATGAATGACATCCTTGAAGTGACTGGACTGACCTTGAAGGAGCTGGGGGTGGTGACGGCTGACAGGGAGCTCTGGCGTGGCTGGTCCATGAGGTCACGAAGAATCGGAGACGACTGAACGAATGAACAACAAATATCTGTGGAAAGACCAGGGTGGGACAAAGGACTTTTGTCTGCTGGAGCTAGGTGTGAATGTTTCAACTGACCACCTTGATTAGCATTTAATGGCTTGGAAGTGCCTGGGGGGAATCTTTTGTTGAGAGTGATTTGATGTGCCTGATTGTTTACTCTCTGTTGTTTTGCTGTTGTAATTTTTGAGTTTTTTAATACTGGTAGCCAGATTTTGTTCATTTTCATGGTTTTCTCCTTTCTGTTGAAATTGTCCACATGCTTGTGTATTTCATTGGCTTCTCTGTGTAGTCTGACATGGTGGTTGTGAGAGCGGTCCAGCATTTCTGTGTTCTCAAATAATATGCTGTGTCCAGGTTGGTTCGTCAGGTGCTCTGCTATGGCTGACTTCTCTGGTTGAAGGAGTCAGAGAGGAGCGGCTGAAAGAGCTGGGCATGTTGAGCCTGCAGAAGTGAAGGCTGAGAGGAGACATTATGAGGACCAGGGATCAAGAGGAGAGGGGAAGTCACAGGGAGGAAGGAGCAGGCTTGTGTTCTGCTTCCCTGAAGACTAGGACGCAATGGAACAAGGGCTTCAAACAACAGGAAAGGAGGCTCCACCTGAAGACTTACAAAAACTGTGAGAGAGAGCTGTTCAGCAGAAAAAGGGGTTTATATATCTGTGGAATGACCAGGGTTCCAACAGACCTCACTACCTCTGAGGATGCTTGCCATAGATGCAGGTGAAACATCAGGAGAAAATGCCTCTAGAACATGGCCATATAACCCGAAAAAACCTACAACAACCCATACTGGGAGTTGTAGTTTGACAAGGTCTGGTGCCTTCTCAGTGGAGGAGTATTGATTCGTCACCAAACTACAACTCCCATGATTATGTAGCATTGAGCCATAGCAGTTAAAGTAGGGCCAGACTGCATTCACTCTTACAGTGTAGATGCCATCTGGATGACAACCAACACCAGTGAAATCCTTCCTTCTATACACTGAGGAAATAGGAGCAACACCTCTCGTATACAACCTTTAAAGGCATAGCAACCCTCCCCAGTGTTAAGAGAGTGGATCCTGCCCAGAGGAACCTCTTGAATGTTTAATCCATTACACATGAACCAAGCTCCTCTCACGTCCGGTCTATTGATTAATCCATCCCATCAATTATTACCATGGTCGTGCTGTTGTGGTTGTTGTTATCACACCTCAGTGGCTTCAGAGGAGGTTGAAGGTCAGTGGTTGGAACCAACTCCTGGTTAAACAGCAGGATCAGATCTGATATGCTAACAACATTGCATCTATGCTGTGGAATGAATGCAGCTTGACAACACTTAAAACAGCCATGACTGAATGCGACTGCATCAAGAGGAGCCTAGTGTCTAGATCTAGGGAAGTCATGCTCCCCATGCTCTATTCCGCTTTGGTTAGACCACTTTACCTGGAATATTGTGTCCAATTTTGGGCTCCACAATTGAAGAGAGACATTGACAAGCTGGAATGTGTCCAGAGGAGGGCGACTAAAATGATCAAGGGTCTGGAGAACAAGCCCTATGAGGAGCGGCTTAAGGAGCTGGGCATGTTTAGCCTGAAGAAGAGAAGGCTGAGAGGAGATGTGATAAGGGCCATGTATAAATATGTGAGAGGAAGCCATAGGGAAGAGGGAACAAGCTTGTTTTCTGCTTCCTTGGAGACTAGGACGCAATGGAACAATGGCTTCAAACTACAAGAGAGGAGATTCCACCTGAACATGAGGAAGAACTTCCTGACTGTGAGAGCCGTTCAGCAGTGGAACTCTCTGCCCCGGAGTGTGGTGGAGGCTCCTTCTTTGTAGGCTTTGAAACAGAGGCTGGATGGCCATCTGTCAGGGGTGATTTGAATGCAATATTCCTGCTTCTTGGCAGAATGGGGCTGGACTGGATGGCCCATGAGGTCTCTTCCAACTCTTTGATTCTATCATAGAATCATAGAATTTAATGTCCCTGGCAAGCCTGGGCTCGTTTTGTGCTTTAGCCTTGCGGACCTTTTCCCTACAGGTGTTGGCTATTTGTTTGAATTCTTCTTTGGTGATTTCTCCCTTTTTCCACTTCTTGTGTATGTCTCTTTTGTGTCTTAGCACAGTTAGAAGTTATTTGGGTATCCATTCTGGCTTCTTTTCACTTGTCCTATTTTTTCTCTTTGTTGGCACGGTTTGCACGCCTCGGGTATTTCACTCTTGAGAAACTCCCATCCATCCGTAACTCCCTTGTCTTTTAGTATCTGTGTCCACGGAATACTGCTCAGTGTTTCCTTCATTTTTTGGAAATCAGCTCTCCTAAAGTCCAAAATGCGGGTTTGACTTGTCTTAGTTTCGGCCTTCCTTTGTACCTCAAATTGCAGGAGCACATGGTTACTTGCCCCTAAGGATCCTACCACTTCATAGATAGATTCTATGATTCTATCTATGCTGTGGAATGAATGCAGCTTGACAACACTTAAAACAGCCATGACTGAATGCGATTGAATCCTAGGAGTTGCAGTTTGGCGAGGAAACCGATGCCCTCACATGCGGATCAAGAATAGGGCTCCACAGTCACCTACGGACCCACCGACAGAACACTGATCTTGGAAGACAATCTACTCGGATAACGAGGGATTGCCTACGTTTACAGGTTATGCATGTGCCTCCGAGGGTGCATCCACACAGTAGAATTAATGCAGTTTGGCACTACTTGAATTGCCATGGCTCAATACTATGGAGTCCTGGGATTTACAGTTTTACAAGATCTTTAGCTTTCTCATCCAAGGAGTGTCGGAGCTTCGGCAAGGTACAACTCCCAGGATCCCATAGCATTGAGCCATGGCACTTCAAGCAGAGTCAAGCTGCATTAATTTGACAATGTAGATTCACCTTTAGGGTGACCCTACACATTGCAGAGTGTTTTCTTAAGCAAGGAATCCACAGAGGAGGAGATTTTGCAAATATCTTCCTTTGAAATATGATGGTGGTGATGATGCTTGTATCTTTTGACCAAGACACAAAGCAGTTAAGAAGCAAAATATGGGACTTCTGGGCTTGGGGAAGGGTCTTGACAAGCTGGAATGTGTCCAGAGGAGGGAGACTCAAATGATCAAGGGTCTGGAGAACAAGCCCTATGAGGAGCGGCTTAAGGAGCTTGGCATGTTTAGCCTGAAGAAGAGAAGGCTGAGAGGAGATATGATAGCCATGTATAAATATGTGAGAGGAGGGCACAGATAGGAGGAGGGAGCAAGCTTGTTTTCTGCTTCCTTGGAGACTAGGACGCAAGGGAACAATGGCTTCAAACTACAAGAGAGGAGATTCCACCTGAACATGAGGAAGAACTTCCTGACTGTGAGAGCCGTTCAGCAGTGGAACTCTCTGCCCCAGAGGGAGTGTGGTGGAGGCTCCTTCTTTGGAAGCTTTGAAACAGAGGCTGGATGGCCATCTGTCAGGGGTGATTTGAATGCAATATTCCTGCTTCTTGGCAGAAAGGGATTGGACTGGATGGCCCATGAGGTCTCTTCCAACTCTATGATTCTATGATTCTTCTTTTTGGACTTTAGTTCCCAAAATTCCTGAATTTGCCCAGGAATGATGGGAGTGACAGTCCAAAAGGGCTTTTTCTCCCTGATCTGGAAGCAGCATTGGAGGGCTGAGGTCAAACCTTGTGTGTGTTTGTGTGCCTTCAAGTTCCTTCCTGACTTTATGGCGACCCCATAAATTTCGTAAAACTTAAGAGATGGTTTTACCAATTCCTTCCTCTGAAATACAGCCCACAGTCTCTGGTATTTGTTAATGGACTCCCATCCAAGTACCAGCCAGGGATGACCCTGCTTAGCTTCCATAATCAGGCAGGATTTGGCACCTTTAGGGTAAACGAGGTTAAGTCACGGATCAATCTAGGAAAGAGAGTGGGAACGCTACAACCTCCTTAGCTATGAGGGATACTACATCTCCCAAGGGGCTTGAGAAGAAGTCTGACCCACCCTCTTCCCGCTCCAGGCCTGGCCCTGCTTAGCCTCCAAAGGTGCCTTTGAGATCAATGGTTTGAACCCAACAAACATAAAAGCACATTGCAATCCCAGTCTTCCCAAACGACAACATTTTCTTGTCCGGCCCTTTCAAGGCGATGGAGCCGGATTAGTCGATCGTGTCCACAATGAGAGGCGCCGCGTAGTCAGAGTGGCGGATGCCGAAGGTCACTCCACGCTGCTGGGTGTACTGAAAGGGGGAGGGAGGAAAAGGAGGAGGGAAATGGGGTTATCATCTGGGGAGGGAAAGAACTGCATCCTAGAGCATTCCCTTTCATCCGCAAACTAGGCTTCAACTTATGCAGGCTACAATATAATAATAATAATAATAATAATAATAATAATAATAATAATCTATATAAATAAAAATGTAATGTTCGTTTGTGGGATTAACAGAACGCAAAAAACACTGGATGAATTGACACCAAATTTGGACACTATACCCCTAACAGACCAATGAGTGACCATCACTCATAAAACACTGAAAAACACAGCAGAAGAGACTTAAAAAGGAAATAAAAAAGTGAAAGGAAAAAGAGAGGGAAGGAAGGAGAGAAGGAACAAAAGATAGGGAAGGAAGGAAGGAAGGAAGGAAGGAAGGAAGGAAGGAAGGAAGGAATGAAGGAAGGAAGGAGAGAAAGAGGGAGGGGAAAGAAAAAGGAAGAGAGAAGGAAGGAGGAAGAGAGAAGGAAGGAAGGAAAGAGGTAGAGAAGGAAGAAAGGAAAAAGAAAGAAAGAAGAAGAGGAAAGAGGGAAAGAGAAGGAAAGAAGAGGAAAGAGAAAGAAGGATGGAAGCAAAGAGAAAGGAAGGAAGGAAAGAGAGAAGGAAGAAAGAGAGAAAGAGAGAAAGAGGGGGAAGGAAAGAGGGAGGAAAGAAAAAAGAAGGAAAGAGAAGAGGAAGCAAAGAGCAAAGGAAGGAAGGAAAGAGAGAGAAGGAAGAAAGGAGAGAAAGAAAGAAAAAGAAAAAAAGAGGGAGGGAAAGAAAGAAAGAAAGAAAGAAAGAAAGAAAGAAAGAAAGAAAGAGAGAAGGAAAGAGAGAAGGATGGATGGAAGCAAAGAGCAAAGGAAGGAAGGAAAGAGATAGAGAAGGAAGAAAGGAGAGAAAGAAAGAGAGAGAAAGAGGGAGGGAAAGAGGGAGGGAAAGAAAAAGAAGGAAAGAGAGAAGGAAGGATGGATGGAAGCATAGAGCAAGGGAAGGAAGGAAAGAAGTAGAGAAGGAAGAAAGGAAAGTAAGAAAGAAAGGGGAGAAAGAGGGAGGGCAAGAAAGAAGGAAAGAGAGAAGGAAGAATGGAAGCAAAGAGCAAAAGAAGGAAAGAAAGAAAGAAGTAGGAAAAGAAAACTGCCAGGATCCCATAGCACTGATCCATGGCAATTCAAATTGGGTCAAACTGCATTGATTCTGCAAAGCAGATGCATCCTGGGGTAGTAGGATCTGTCTGGCCGACCAACTCAAAGATGCCTGACCCAAACTGACCCCTTTGGGTGACCCACATCATTCGAATGCTCACCTTTTCAGGACTATAAGCTCCAGGACCTGGTTTCAGGGTGTTATCCCCAGGAGGCATGTTGCGGGCCAGAATGCTATAATGTGGAGGACGGTTCTTGTAGACTCCAGGATCCACCACGCGGTAATTGCAAGGTCCAGGAGTCTGAGGAAATATCATCATCATCATCATCATCATCATCATCATCACCAGACCATGTAACACTATTTTTGTTCCTGGGTTATAAATGTCATTTCCCAATTGGTTCTATTATGAGCCACCAAAACTTTGCTTTTGCAGGAGGGACATTCTCCTGCAGCACATTTTGCTCTAGTAGTCTATATAAATAAAAATGCAATGTCCGTTTGTGGGATTAACATAACTCAAAAACCACTGGGTGAATTGACACCAAATTTGGATACAAATGCAGTGTAGGCTCATATAATCCATTTCAAGGTAGATAATGTGGATTATCTGATTTGGTCATCTGGATTATGTGGCTAAACAGCCCTTCCACATAGCCATATAACCCAGAACATTCACAATATCAGCTTTGACCTAGTGTTGCACTCCAGGACAGGAATAATCCTCTGACTTTAAACACCACACGTTGAATAGGAAAAAATAATCCTTTTATTGAAGATAAGTAAAAAAAAACAGCAAAGTAAGAAGCACTTCAATGTAATAGGTAAATCCAATTAGGTAAGAAGATAAGCAGGAATAAATTAGTCCAAGGTAGAGTTCAGCAATGTCCATAAAAGCAAAGTCCACACAACTCTAACACAATCCAGAAAATACATTGATACAAGGCTTGGGTAAGCAATCATGACATCCAGGAATCCAACACCATGAACAAGAAATATCTTAACATGAAACCTCAAAGCAAAGCTTCCATGAAACAAGGACGAGAAGTTGCCGTGATTCCAAATGATGCTTCATCTGACTACACATCCCAAACTTGAGACTTTTATCCCCTTGTTAGCTAGGTCACTAGCGGTGAGAAATTGGTTTCTCTTTAGTTGAGGTTTTGTTATTGTTGGGCTGTTGTAGGTTTTTTCGGGCTATATGGCCATGGTCTAGAGGCATTCTCTCCTGACGTTTTGCCTGCATCTATGGTAATTATCCTCAGAGGTAATGAGGTCTGTTGGAACTAGGAAAAAGGGTTTAGATATATGTGGAATGACCAGGGTGGAGCTAGGTGTGAATGTTTCAACTGACCACCTTGATTAGCATTTGATAGCCTGCCAGTTTTTTTGGCGTGGCTTGTTAGTGCCTGGGGGAATCTTTTGTTGAGAGGTGATTAGCTGTCCCTGATTGTTTCCTCTTGTCCAACAGACAAGAGTTCTTTGTCCCACCCTGGTGATTCCACAGATACATAAACCCCTTTTCCTAGTTCCAACAGACTTCACTATCTCTGAGGATGCTTGCCATAGATGCAGGCGAAACGTCAGGAGAGAATGCCTCTAGACCATGGCCATATAGCCCAAAAAAACCTACAACAACCCAGTGATTCCGGCCATGAAAGCCTTTAACAATACATTTGTTATTGTTTTCTGTCAAAGCCTGGCAGAGCGCCTAAGCCATTGCACAGCCCTCCTGTTTTGACTGAACTCTTATCGTCTATCTCTTGGCTCGTTATCTACTTGCTCATTAATTTCTGCAGGTGCCGAGTAGAACTCCCTGGTAACAATTCAGAAAGCACACCATCATCCCCACACCCCTCAGGGACATTCTCATGGGATCTCCTACACAGATCTCCTGGTCATTCTCTGCATCAATATCACTGGCCAAACCACTGCCATCTTGAAACTCATCTTGAACCTCATTAACATAATTCCCCACCATGAAACAAAACCATGATTTTTTTCAAGCAAAGCTCCCATGAAACAAGGACGAGATCTTGACTTGATTCCAAATGATGCTTCATCTGACTACATATCCTGTACTTGGGACTTTTATCTCCTCATTAGCTATGTCTCTAGCACTCAGAAATTGGTTTCACTTAACCTGAGAATTTCTTATCTTTTTCTCTCGGAGCCTGGCAGAATGCCGAAGCCACTGTTCGGCTCTCCTGTTTTGACTGATCTCCTCCCATCTATCTATTTGCTCATTAATTTCTGCAGCTGGGACAGGTACCGAGCTGTTTTCATGTTCCCTATGATGGAAACTCTCTGGTAACAATTCAGAAAGCATACCATCATTCCCATACCCCTCAGAGACATTCTCATGGGAAACTGCACTTTGAACAGGGATCTCCTGGTCATTCTCTGCATCAATATCACTGGCCAAACCATTGCCATCTTGAAACTCATCTTGAACCTCATTACCATCATTCCCCACATCCAAAGCACTCTGATCCTGAAATGCAATCACAGGCTGAACTCCAACACCTAGGTTATCTGAGTCCACACTGACGTATAATCCAGTTCAATATGTGTGGAAGGGGTGAAGTCTATAGAACTCAAGGTAGATCGATATTGTAGAACAGTGTTTCTCAACCTGGGGGTCGGGACCCCTCAGGGGGTCATGAGGAGGTGGCAGAGGGGTCACCAAAGACCCATCAGAAAACTGTATTCTTTGTTGGTCATGGGGGTCTCTGTGTGGGAAATTAGGTGCAATTCTATCATTGGTGTGGCTCAGAATGCTCTTTAATTGTGGGTGAACTGTAACTCCCAGTAACTACAACTCCCAAATGTCAAGGTCCATTTTCCCCAAACTCCACCAGTATTCACATTTGGACATATTGAGTATCCTTGCCAAGTTTGGTCCAGGTCCATCATTGTTTGAGTCTACAGTGCTCTTTGGATGTAGGTGATCTGCAGCAGATCACAGGAGCTGTCTTCCTAGACCTGTCAGCAGCCTATGAGACTGTGAACCACCACCGCCTCCTCCTGAGAAAAATGTATAATATCACAAAGGACGACCACCTCACCCGCCTCATAGGAAACCTGCTACAAAACAGGAGCTTTTTTGTTGAGTTCCAGGGCCAGAGAAGCAGATGGCGGAAACAGAAGAATGGCCTGCCTCAGGGGAGCGTGCTCGCCCCATCCATGTTCAACATCTACACAAATGACCAGCCACTGCCAGAAGGGACAGAGAGTTTCATCTATGCTGATGATCGTGCCATCACCACTCAAGCAGGGAGCTTTGAGATGGTTGAACAGAAGCTCTCCGAAGCTCTAGGTGCTCTTACTGCCTATTACAGGGAAAACCAGCTGATCCCTAATCCATCTAAAACACAGACATGTGCCTTTCACCTTAAGAACAGACAAGCATCCCGAGCTCTGAGGATTACCTGGGAAGGAATCCCACTGGAGCATTGCAGCGCACCCAAATACCTGGGAGTCACTCTGGACCGTTCTGACCTACAAGAAGCACTGCCTGAACATCAAACAAAAAGTGGGTGCTAGAAACAATATCATACGAAAGCTGACTGGCACAACCTGGGGATCACAACCAGATACAGTGAAGACATCTGCCCTTGCGCTATGCTACTCTGCTGCTGAGTACGCATGCCCAGTGTGGAACACATCTCACCACACTAAAACAGTGGATGTGGCTCTTAATGAGACATGCCGCATTATCACAGGGTGTCTGCGCCCTACACCACTGGAGAAATTACACTGCTTAGCCGGTATTGCACCACCTGACATCCGCCGGGAAGTAGCAGCCAATAGTGAAAGGACCAAGGCAGAGACATCTCCAGCTCATCCCCTGTTTGGGTTTCAGCCAGCACATCAATGACTTAAATCAAGAAATAGTTTTCTTAGATCTACAGTGACACTTGCTGGAACACCTCAGCAAGCGAGAGTCCAAAAGTGGCAGGCTCAAACCCAGAACCTCAATCCATGGCTGATACCAGATGAGAGACTCCCCCCTGGGCACACAGAAGACTGGGCGACTTGGAAGGCGCTGAACAGACTGCACTCTGGCACCACGAGATGCAGAACCAACCTCAAGAAATGGGGCTACAAAGTGGAATCCACGACATGCGAGTGTGGAGAAGAGCAAACCACTGACCACCTGCTGCAATGCAACCTGAGCCCTGCCACATGCACAATGGAGGACCTTCTTGCAGCAACACCAGAGACACTCCAAGTGGCCAGATACTGGTCAAAGGACATTTAATCAACTACCAAGTTTGCAAAATTTGTGTTTCTTTTAACTGTTTGTTTGTTTTGTTCTGTTAGAAATGTAATAAAATGGTATGGTTGCTGATGACACGCTTAATAAATAAATAGCCTTGATCCGTGGCAATCCAAGTGGCGCCAAGCTACATTCGTTCAGCAGTGTAGATGCCCCTTCAGAGTGGCCTGTTTCTGACCTTCCACCTTCACTAAAGATCATGAAGAACTCACCCTGCTGAGGTCCTCGTAGAAGCTGCCAATGGTGCTGCGCCCAAAAATGGAGTAATTGGGAGCAGAGGCTTTGTTGACCACTTTGGGCCCCAGCATCGGAGGGAGGCCATAGGCAGCTGGTCCTGCAAGGAGGAAGAGGGAAAAGAATCAGAGGAAGAACCATCCACACTGGAGAAGGGATGCAGCTTAGCACCACTTTCACTGCCAGCGCTCCATGCTATAGGCTCACGGGAGTAGTGGATTTGCATGGCCTTTTCCCTGCTCTTGGAGTCCAGTGGATTCTCCTTTTATGGAGTTTTTTAAAAGGAGGCTGGATGGCCATCTGTCAGGAGGGCTTGCATTGTGTATTTCTATGTGTAGAAGGGGTTGGACAGAATGGTCTTTGGAGATCCCTTCCAAATCGAGGATTCAGAGTCTAGAGCAGTGGTTCTCAACCTTCCTAATGCCGCAACCCCTTAATACAGTTCCTCATGTTGTGGTGACCCCCAACCATAACCCTAACATTATGAATCGCCATGTAAATAATGATCTTCAGGATGTATTTTCATTCACTGGAGTAAATTTGGCACAAATACCTGGTATGCCCAAATTTGAATACTGGTGGGGTTGGTGGGGGGATTGATTTTGCCATTTGGGAGTTGTAGTTGCTGGGATTTATAGTTAACCTGTAAACAAAGAGCATTCTGAACCCCACCAACAATGGAATTGAACCAAAGAACCCCCATGACCTACAGAAAATACTGGAAGGGTTTAGAGGGCATTGACCTTGAGTTTGGGAGTTGAAGTTCACCTGTATCCAGAGAGCACTCTAGACTCCAACAATGATGAATCTGGACCAAACTTGGCACAAATACTCAATATGTTCAAATGTGAACACTCGTGGGGTTTTGGGAAAATAGACCTTGAGATTTGGGAGTTGTACTTGCTGGGATTTATAGTTCACCTACAATCAAGGAGCATTCTGAACCCCAACAACTTCCCATACAGAGACCCCCATGACCAACAGAAAATACTGTGTTTTCTGATGGTCTTTGGCAACCCCTCTGACACCCCTTCGCAACCCCTCCAGGGGTCCCGACCCCCAGGTTGAGAAACACTGGTCTAGAACAATAGAATTGTAAGGGAACCCCAAAGGTCATCCAGTGTGATTCCATCTGGATGGCCATATGTCAGGAGGTTTTTAAACAGAGGCTGGAAGGCCATCTATTGGGAGGGTTTGAATTGTGTATTCCTATGTGTAGAAGGGGTTGGACAGAATGGCCTTTGGAGATCCCTTCCAAATCAAGGATTCAGAGTCTAGAACAATAGAATTGTAAGGGAACCCCAAAAGTTATCCAGTGTGATTCCATTTGGATGGCCATAAGTCAGGAGGTTTTTAAACATAGGCTGAATGGCCATCTGTTGGGAAGGCGTGCATTGTGTATTCTTGTGTGCAGAAAGAAGCTGGACAGAATGGCCTTTGGGTTCCCAACTAGATAGAATCATAGAATAATAGAACTGGAAGAGACCACATGGGCCATCTAGTCCAACCCCAATCTGCCATGCAGGAAAAGCACAACCAAAGCACCTTAGATTTAGGATTCTAGGATTATTACACATGGGAAACCTTAGGCAATGCAGCAAGCAAGGGTCCCTCCTGCCTCTTCTCCTTCTTCCCTTCGCTTACCTGGTGTCTGGTCATTCAGAAAGTCCTTTGTCCGGGAGGCAAGGGAGAACATGGGGGGCGCAGGGTAGGCCAGCCTCCCAGCCTTTTCTGGGGAGTAGCGACCTGCAAGGAAGCAAAGAAAGAGGCAGAACTGGGGGGAGCTAATAAGGCATTTCAACAGGGAAAGGAAAAGTCTCTCAGTGTATATTTTCATGTATGATGTAGGTTTAAATGTAATTTCATGTAGTAGAAATGTGATTGCAGTAAGATTGTATTGCCAGGATGTATGTTTACTCAGAAGGCCCTGAGTCCCTAGCTGTGTGAAAAATTAGGGAGTGTCTGATAACTCCCAAGCCAGCTGCAGTTTTGTTTTCATTTCCCATTTCCTTTGTTCTGTGTACTTCACGCCTGCTCGCTGATGTCATTGGTTGTGTTTCTGAAGTAAATCTGAACGTGTTTTTTACCAGTGACTCCAGAGTCCATTATTCTGAGTTTTTACAATACTTCTGCTAGTGCTGATAATGCCTTTGTCCTGCAAATGAACATACTGGACAAGTGGGTTGCATTGATCAGACTGGAAATGAAACCATTATATGGTAGATCCATCTCCAATCTGGGATTTTAAGGTGGATGTGGAGGGTTAGATTGGAAGCATAGTCACAAGAGTGTAACTCCATCTCCGATCTAAGGCTTTAAGGTGGGTTTTATGGGGGTTAGGATGGAATCATAGCCACAATAGTGTAGCTCCATCTCTAATCTGGGGTTTTAAAGTGGGTTTTGAGGGTTAGATTGGAAGCATAGTCATAAGAGTGTAACTCCATCTCCAATCTAAGGTTTTAAGGTGGGTTTTAGGGGGGTTAGGATGGAATCATAGCCACAATAGTGTAGCTCCATCTTCGATCTGGGGTTTTAAAGTGGGTTTTGAGGGTTAGATTGGAAACATGGCTACAAGAGTGTAGTTCCAGCTCCGATCTGGGTTTTCAATGTGGGTTTTAGGGAGTTAGGATGGAATCGTAGCTACCAGAGTGTAGCTCCATCTCCGATCTGGGGTTTTAAGGTGGGTTTTGAGGGTTAGATTGGAAGCATAGCTACAGAGTGTAGCTCCATCTCCAGACTGGGGTTTTAAAGTGGGTTTTAGGGGGGTTAGGATGGAATCGTAGCCATAAGAGTGTAGCTCCAGCTCCGATCTGGGTTTTTAAGGTGGGTGTTGAGGGTTAGATTGGAAGTGTAGCCACAAGAGTGCAGCTCCATCTCCAGACTGGGGTTTTAAGGTGGGGGATTTTTGGGGGGGGGGGTTAGGATGGAATCGTAGCCACAATAGTGTAGCTCCATCTCCGATCTGGGGTTTTAAGTGAGTTTTAGGGGGGTTAGGATGGAAAACTAGCTACAATAGTGTAGCTCCATCTCTAATCCGAGATTTTAAGGTGGGTTTTGGGGGGTTAGATTGGAAGTTTAGCCACAAGAGTGTAGCTCCATCTCCAGTTTGAGATTTTTAAGGTGAATATTGGGGGATAGATTGGAAGCATAGCCACAAGAGTGTAGCTCCATTTCTAATCTGAGATTTTAAGGTGGGTTTTGGGGGGTTAGATTGGAAGCAAAGCTACAATAGCGTTGCTGTATCTCTAATCTGGGATTTTAATGTGGGTTTTGGGGGGTTAGATTGGAAGTTTAGCCACAAAAGTGTAGCTCCATCTCCAGTTTGGGATTTTAAGGTGAATTTTGGGGGATAGATTGGAAGCATAGCCACAAGATTGTAGCTCCATTTCTAATCTGGGATTTTACAGTGGGTTTTAGGGGGGTTGGGATGGAATCGTAGCCACAATAATGTAGCTCCATTTCTGATCTGGGATTTTAAGGTGGGTTTTAGGGGGGTTAGGATGGAATCATAGCTACAATAGTGAAGCTCCATCTCAGATCTGGGCTTTTAAGGTGGGTTTTGTGGGGTTAGATTGGAAGTTTAGCCACAAAAGTGTAGCTCCATCTCCAGACTGGGGTTTTAAGGTAGTTTTAGGGGTTAGATTGGAAGCATAGCCACAAGAGTGTAGCTCCATCTCCAATCTAAGGTTTTAAGGTGGGTTTTAGGGGGGTTAGGATGGAATCGTAGACACAATAGTGTAGCTCCATCTCCGATCTGGGGTTTTAAGGTGGGTGTTGACGGTTAGATTGTAAACATAGCCACAAGAGTGCAGCTCCATCTCCAGACTGGGATTTTTAAGATGGGTTTTAGGGGGGTTAGGATGGAAATATAGCCACAATAGGGTAGCTCCATCTCCAATCTGGGGTTTTAAGGTGGGTGTTGAGAGTTAGATTGGAAGCATAGCCGCAAGAATGTAGCTCCATCTCCGATCTGGGGTTTTAAGGGGGTTTTTAGGGAGGTTAGGATGAAATCGTAGCCACAAGAGTGTAGCTCCATCTCTAATCTGGGATTTTAAGGTGGACTTTGAGGGTTAGATTGGAAGTTTAGCCACAAGAGTGTAGCTCCATCTCTGATCAGGGTTTTAAGATGGGCACTGGGGGTCAAATTGGAAGCACAGCTCTGTATCTGATGAGGAACCTCTTGTACCCCACATACCCATTCAAACCCCACAGGTATCCTTCTAAGGTTGTGTTCCGTGCCCCAATCCTCACCTGGCCCTGGTGTCTTGAAAGACGTGATGTCTTTGGGTCGCCCATAAATGGAGTAGGCGGGAATCCCATCTTTGCCTCTCATGGTCATGTTGGTGGGGATGAGGTAGCCAGGCCCAGGAGAGCAGCCCTGCTTCTCCTGCAAGCGGCGGATGCCGAAGCTGAAGGCCGGGGCCCGGTAGCGAGAAGGGTCATGCTGCTGGTATCCTGGGAGCAGGAGGAGAAACACAGAATTGGAAGAGACCCCAAAGGGACACCCAGTCAAACCCTCCTTCTTTCAGGCAAGAAGACACCATCCAATCCCTCCCGACAAGTGGCCATCCAGTTCAACATATAAACCTTCAAAGGAGACTCCAACAGAGTCTTAGGTCACAGTGTATTTTACAGACAGCTCTTACTGTCTGAAAGTTCTTCCTAGTGTTTGGGTGGGATCGTTTTGTGAGTGCAAGGAGGTGTCCCCCCAAAAATGGTGGGACTGGATTTTCCCTCCTATCCCGCTATTTACAAGCAGCCCCCTGCAAATATGTGCCTGCCCTTTTTCTCCCTCGATACGGTTCAAAACTTTATTTCTGTCAGGAGTCAATTTCTGACGGCATGAAGACATCACAAATTCCCTCCGTGACATCCTGACTGAATCATCCTGGCTGCCTCAGTTTTCTCTCTGTGACATTTTGAAGCCAGCAAAGGGCGCTGGAAACCTTGTATTGGAACTTGTGAAGCAACAATAAGCTCCAATAAGGAAACTGAGAAGAGGGGGAGATGGGCAGAAAAGGTGTACAAAAGGAAGTGGTGGTGGGAAAAAGTCAGCAGTGTCTTTCTTTGCTGCAGAGATACAAGCAATATATTCATTTCAAAGCAAAACCGGCTTGTGAGTGATCATTTAATATTGCTATATAAAACCTACAGTCTTACAATTTCCTTACATGCAGTTTTCACAGCAAGAGGTTGAAAGAGAAAGGACACCTCTGAGTGTTGTCGAAGGCTTTCATGGGTGGAATTACTGGGTTGCCATGAGTTTTCTGAGCTGTCTGGCCATGTTCCAGAAGCATTCTCTCCTGATGTTTCCCCTGCATCTATGGCAGACATCCTTGGAGGTTGTGAAGTCTGTGGGAAACTAGGCAAGTGGGGTTTATATATCTGTGGGATGATGTCCAAGGTGGGACAAAGAACTCTTGTCTGCTTGAGGCAGATATGAACATTGCATTGAAGCTGCAAGGCTATTCAAGTCTAATCAAGGCTATTCAAGTCTAATCAATGTCATCAACTGCAACATTCCCACTTGCCTCCAACAGATAATCCACCCTGGAGATTATTCCACAGATATATAGAATCATAGAATCCTTGAGTTGGAAGAGACCTGGTGGGCCACCCAGTCCAACCCCATTCTGCCAAGGAGCAGGAATATTGCATTCAGAGCACCCTTGACAGTTGGCCATCCAGCCTCTGTTTCAAAGCCTCCAAAGAAGGAACCTCGACCACAGTCCGGGGCAGAGAGAGACAGTTCCACTGCTGAACAGCTCTCTCTCACCATTAGGAAGTTCTTCCTGATATTCAGGTGGAATCCTGATTTATACCAAAATGCTTATCAGGTGTGGACAACTCCGGTCATTACTCTGTCAGTCTGGCAGGTGCCTTAGTCTGCCTTTCTGGGTACTTAGTGAAACCTCATCTTTATGTCAGTACTGTGGTTGAAATGTGTTGTAATATTGTTTGTGGTTTAAACTCTGTATTCGGTGTAGAAATGTAATGCTGTGCAAGGGTTAAATGCACAGTCTTTAGGAAGAGTCTGAAAACTTGGCTATTCCAGTGTGCCTTCAATGAATTTATTTATTTATTTACAGTATTTATATACTGCCTTTCTCAATCCTGGGGGGACTCAAAGCGGTTATTAATGAGTAATAATCCCTGATCTTGACCAAACTCTGTATAAAATGTCCTCAGAAGCACCTTATTCTGTCTTCTAGTACAGTGGTTAACCTTCCTGATGCCACGACCCCTTAATACAGTGCCTCACGTTGTGGTGACCCCCAACCATAAAATTATTATTATTGCTACTTCCTAATTGTAATTGTGTTACTGTTATGAATCATAATGTAAAAATCTGAAACGCAGGATGTATTTTCATTCACTGGACCAAATTTGGCACAAATACCCAACAACAGCGCTCCATGCCGTCATGTCAGCCACATGACCTTGGAGGTGTCTATGGACAACACCGGCTCTTTGGCCTAGAAATTGAGCACCAACTCCCAGAGTTGGACACAGCTGGACTTAATGTCAGGGGGAAACTTTTACCTTACGTTACCTCATATGCCCAAATTTGAATAGTGGTGGGGTTGGAGGGAAAATTGATTATGTCATTTGGGAGTTGTAGTTGCTGAGATTTATAGTCCACCTACAATTAAAGAGCATTTTGAACTCCACCAATAACGGAATTGGACCAAACTTGGCACACAGAACTCCCATGACCAACGAAACATACTGGAAGGGTTTGGTGAGCACTGACTTTGAGTTTTGGAGTTGTAGTTTACCTGCATCCAGAGAGCATTGCAGACTCAAACAATGATGGATCTGAACCAAACTTGGCATGGATACTCAATATGCCCCAACGTGAACACTGGTGGAGTTTGGGGGAAATAGATCTTGACATTTGGGAGATGCAGTTGCTGGGATTTATAGTTTACCTGCAACAAAGAGCCCTCACCTGCTCCGCACCCCTGCCTGCTGGCGGGAGACCAATGCAAGCAAGGGGCACCCAAGGAGCCACTCGCCCATCCCTCGCCTCCTTCTGCCATCAGAAGGAGATGAGGGATGGGCGGATGGCTTTGCACGCGTGAGTGCCAGTGGCTCAGGGGGTCAACCGCCATTTTGGAGGGAGCGTGGCCAGCCAATGCAGCTTCGCGACCCCAGAAAATGGCAGAACAACCCCCCGAGGGGTCGCGACCTCCAGGTTGAGAACCGCTGTTCTAGTGCAATTAAATCTTAATTTCATCCCTCTGATCCTCTTCTAGATACACGGCACGGCTTGCTTATCTATTGTTTTAAACTTTTAATCTTTGCAACTGGCCCTGCCCACTGTGATTACTGTGATTTTATATTGTTTGGTGTGTTCATTTATATTGTTTTGTATTTTATTTTTTATTTTCAGTATATTTTACTATATGTATTTATGTTGTATATTTGCTTTGCTGTACTGTTGGGCTTGGTCTCATGTAAGCTGCCCTGAGTCCCCTTGGGGAGATGGTGGCGGGGTATAAATAACATTTTATATTATTATTATTATTATTATTATTAATGCCTAGAATGTAACTTTGGATAGTTCCTGCTTCGTCACACATTCCAGAGACGTGATAACAGCACATGTTCTCTTTCAGCGATGTACGGCTAAGAGGAAAGATGTGTTTTTGGCTACTCCTGTAAATAGTTTTGTAGTTTTTAGAAATAGCAATAAAGAACCTCACCAAACTACAAATCCCATGATTCCATAGCAATCAGTATCAAACTGCATTCATTCTACAATGCAGATGCACCCTAAATCTTTCTTTTCCTTTTCTCTAGGTAAGAAGCCAAGATTTAAAGAAGCCACCCAAACTTCTCTACCTCTTTTGAAGCTCCCGAAGCGGATGAGACTGAGACTCGAGGCAATGCTTCCTGTGCAGGGCTATAATGTCCACTCACCTACATTGGTTGGGAGCCCGTACTTAGGGCCCGGGCTACTGTACAGGGCTGCGATTGGCCCTCGGGGCCGGTGAGGCCGCCAGGTTCCGACCCAGACATCCGCAGACATGGCCAAGGCTGACTGCTATCTTCCCAAGAGATCTGGAAGGAAACCCGAAAAGAAAAAGGAAAACACTGGCTTAATTCCAATACATGATGTGGCTCTGTAGGACTGCAAATCCCATTATTTCTGGCCAACTTGGAGGGGTGCCAGGAGCTATAGCTATAGTCCAACGAAACTCAGAAAAGTTGCTCCAGACAATGTAATCTACACACGTGGGGTCTCAGATATGGAATAACAGCATACAGCTTCAGAAATTTTAGCTAATCTTGGACTACAAATCCCAGAATCCCCCAGCCACTGGGAAGTGGAGTCCAAAGAGGTTATGTCTCCAAGTTCAGGACTAGATCCATGGTCTGCTTTGAAATGCAACTCAGAAGATATATAGACTGAGGGATGCTGTGAGAGCCACCTTCAGATCTCTCCACTGTAGAATTAAGTGCAGTTTGAGACCATTTTGATTGCTTTGGCTCAATGCTACAGAATCCTGGGAGTTATAGTTCGGTGATGAACCAGTTCTCTTTGCCAGAGAATGCTGACAAACTCTATGACTGAATTGTTAGACAGGAATGCATTGGCTGTAATCCTATTGTGTAAAACTGGTGGAAAATTGTCAGGTTTTACAATGTATTGTAATGTAATATAGCTGAGTCATGCACTGCTAATAGGCTTCTATTGGAAATGCTGGGTCATGCATATAGGGAATCATTTGGGGAATGTGTTCTGGCCTTGTCCAAATGAGTGTTAATGATGCAATCCTGGGTTTGAGTTAAGTCAATGAGTTGGGAACCAATCAGAGGTTGCTATGTGTAAATGTACAGAATTGTATATAAGGAAGTCATGTACAGTGTATTCTCTCTCCTTGTGCTGTGATGCTGTTTGCCGAAGGCTCTGTGTAACTAATTAAAGGAACTTGTCTGCTAAGACAAGATATAACCGTGTGCTGTGGTAAGTTTGTAGTGTCATCTAGATTGGAGGGGAAAACAATAGTAAAACTGACAATGGCTGGGCATGTGCTCAAGTGCCTGTGGAGAGTTCCAGAGTGACTGCAGTTTGTGAGAGCAGTTGACTGAAAATACTGTGCAGAAGAAGCTACTGGAAAGCGCTGAAGTTGTGCAACTGATCTGCTGCTGAATTGTGAGATAAATTGTGTGATAAATGGTGGAAAATACAGTTCTAATGGACATGTGGTCACACAGTTGCTGAATGTTTAAGTGGGGGTGATGTGTAACTTAAGGGACATGCTGAAGAAGCTGAGTTATGAACATGTGACATTCATGACGAGGGCAGGAAGCATGTGTTCTTTCTCTTGCCATGATTCTCTTGCTTCTTGCTGTATGTCTGTTGCCGATTTCTGTTGCCTACGTCATGAATATATCACTGTACATGCCATTGACTGATAGAGAAATCTGTGTGTATATATTTTGTATATAGAGCAACGTGTCAAGATTAAAAGTCTCCAGTGAGTTTGGATATAAACTAAATCAGAGAGTTTTCTAAACAGTGATCAACACAAGGTTAGACAGTGCAGTTATACTATGCTGACAACTAATATACACTATGCTGTGTATTAGTTGTCAGCATTTATTTTTCTGGTTTGTCTCTGAGACAATCAGTCCAGTACACAGTCTACCTAGGGAAGGTGTGAGTGGAAGGAAAACTATAAATCATTTTCCTATCTCACCTTGAAATGAATAACATTGAGCCCTGCCAGTTAAAGCGGTGTCAAAATTCATTAATTCCTCAATAAATCACACTCTCTCAGATTAAGAGGCCAACCTCCTCAGAAGGATAGGGTTGCCATAAGTCTGAAAGTCACTGTGATGCAGTGGTTCCAACTTTGGAGCAGGATTTCAGAAGACCCGGGTCTGAATCCCAACCCAGCACATCACTTTGGGGATGTCACACTCTCTCAGCCTCAGAGGAAGTCCATGGCAAACCTCCTCGGAAGGAAATCTATATAAATAAAAATGTAATGTTCGTTTGTGGGATTAACAGAACTCAAAAACCACTGAACGAATTGACACCAAATTGGGACACAAGACTCCTAACAACCCAATGTATGTCCTTCACTCAAAAAAAATTGATTTTGTCATATGGGAGTTGTAGTTTCTGGGATTTATAGTTCACCTACAATCAAAGAGCATTCTGAACCCCACCAACGATGGAATTCAACCAAACATGGCACACAGTTCTCGCATGACCAACAGAAAATACTGGAAGGGTTTGGTGGGCAGTGTCCTTTGGTTTTGGAGTTGTAGTTCACTTACATCCAGAGATCACTGTAGACTCAAACAATGATGGATCTGGACCAAACTCTACACGAATACTCAATATGCCCAAATGTGAACACTGGTGGAGTTTGGGGAAAATAGAATCTTGACATTCGGGAGTTGTAGTTGCTGAGATTTATAGTTCACCTACAATCACAGAGCATTCTGAACCCCACCAACGATAGAATTGGGCCAAACCTCCCACACAGAACCCCCATGTGGGCCACAGCAATGTGTGGCAGGGGATGGGTAGTCTATCAATAAAAGGTTGGGCAAGAAGATGCATCTACACGGTCGAATGAATAGATGGTGGACAAGGGCTGCTCGCATTTTGACACCACTCGAATGCCATGGTTCCATGCTATGGAATCCTGGGAGTTATAGTTTTGCAAAGTCTTTTGCCTTCTTTGCCAAATCGTGCTGCTGGTGCCTCAAACTACAACTCCCAGGATTGAAGAGCATGGAGGTCAAGTAGAGTAAAACTACATCGATTCTAAGTGCTGATGCACCCTCTGTCACTGAGCTCTGGTGCCAGAACAAACTACAACTCCCAGGATTTCCATAGCCTTGAGCCATGGCAGCTCAAGTGGCATCAAACTACATTAGCACCACATTATAGATGCACTCTAAGTTAGACTTGTGCGTTTGATGCGGAATTACCCTTGATTCGGATCTAGTTCAGATTTTTAGCACTTTTGAAGAGGGTTCCAACATGCCTACTTGCTGCCCCCCAATATTAAGAATCTGAATCAAAAGGAGCCTGTGATTCTTAAGTTTTGGATGTGTTTGGATATAGTTGTCAGAGCTAAAACTCACAGAACAACCAAACCCTGCTGAGAGGCGAAGCCAAACATATTGGCATGCCTCTCCAGCCAATCATGGCTCGCGGAGGCAGAGGCGGAGATTGCTTAAAAATGTTGTTTTTAAAAACTTTGAAAATTTGCCAAAAATCCATGGATAAGTCAAATATTCTGAAATTTGGTGAGCTAACAGTGGTAAATGTGTTCTACCACTGTAGCAAGTTTCATCTGGAAAGCTCAAAAAATGAGGGAGAGAGAAGCCCCTCAAGTTTCCCCACTCACAGTAATGTTTTCTTAATGTGCATGCGCAACTGCCATTAACAAAGTACTCGTGAAAATTTGGAAGTTTTGTAAAGTTTTGAAATTTTTACCCCTAAAATTTGGAAAGAACTTTAGAAATGAAGCACCAGTGCCTCGTACTTTTGAACACAGTTTAGAACCATTTTTTTTGTATTGCACATGCCTACTCTAAGTGTGTAAATTCACTCATTGTATTTGTTTGGTTCTGTATTATGAATCCTTTCACTTCTTAGACAAAGGTATCCCGGCAGATTTCAAGGAGATTTGCTTCTGAAAAAAGGGTATTGTATTTGAAGAGTCTGTGTTGTTTACTTCTGAATGCATGTCATGCCCAAGACACAAATGACCCACAGAGGCAGAGGGCCAGGATTTTGACAAGCTTGCTTTCCTGGTCCTTGTTGCCATGCCAGCGGGGGTGACAACACAAACACAACCAGCATGCCAGGAATGTTTGCAGGAGATGCAATGCAAGGCTCCCAGTCAAATGAATACAGCTTGACAACACTTTAGTGTCAATGGAATCCTGGGAGTTGTAGTTTTAACCAGTGTTCTTGGGAGTAGCCAAACTCCAGTTCCCATTATCCTATAGCATCGAGCCAAGTGGTCCAGTTGTGGCAGGCTTGGCTTTCCTCTTTTCTGTTTGGGGATGGCCTCCTTTGCAGGGCTGTTGTGAATAATGATGACAATGTCCAGGAAGCCTACACAAATCTACACAAATCTACATCTACACAAATGACCAGCCACTGCCAGAAGGGACAGAGAGTTTCATCTATGCTGATGATCGTGCCATTACCGCTCAAGCAGGGAGCTTTGAGATGGTTGAACAGAAGCTCTCCGAAGCTCTGGGTGCTCTTACTGCCTGTTACAGGGAAAACCAGCTGATCCCCAACCCATCTAAAACACAGACATGCGCCTTTCATCTCAAGAACAGACAAGCATCCCGGGTTCTGAGGATTATTACCTGGGAAGGAATCCCACTGGAGCATTGCAGCACACCCAAATTCTCTGACCTACAAGAAGCACTGCCTGAACATCAAGCAAAAAGTGGGTGCTAGAAACAATATCATACGAACACTGACTGGCACAACCTGGGGATCACAACCAGACACAGTGAAGACATCTGCCCTTGCGCTGTGCTACTCTGCTGCTGAGTATGCATGCCCAGTGTGGAACACATCATACCACGCTAAAACAGTGGATGTGGCTCTTAATGAGACATGCCGCATTATCATGGGGTGTATGCGCCCTACACCACTGGAGGAATCACACTGCTTAGCTGGTATTGCACCACCTGACATCCGCCGGGAAGTGGCAGCCAATAGTTAAAGGACCAAGGCAGTGACATCACCAGCTCATCCCCTGTTTGGGTATCAGCCAGCACGTCAACGACTTAAATCTAGAAATAGTTTTCTAAGATCTACAGAGACACTCACTGGAAGAACTTAGCAAGCGAGAGTCCAAAAGTGGCAGGCTCAAACCCAGAACCTCAATCAACAGCTGATACCAAATGAGAGACTCCCCCCTGGGCACACAGAAGACTGGGCGACTTGGAAGGCACTGAACAGACTGTGCTCTGGCACCACGAGATGCAGAGCCAACCTTCAGAAATGGGGCCACAAAGTGGAATCCACGACATGCGATTGTGGAGAAGAGCAAACCACTGGCCACCTGCTACAATGCACCCTGAGCCCTGCCACATGCACGATGGAGGACCTCCTTGCAGGAACACCAGAGGCACTCCAAGGGGCCAGATACTGGTCAAAGGACATCTAATCAACTACCAAACTTGCAAACTCTGTTTTGTCTGTTTGTTTAAAATTGTTAAAAATGTAATACAATTGTCTGGTTGATACTGACACGATAAATAAATAAATCCCCACACTGCACTTCCTTCAAAGTCCTCAAGGTGGCAGGCTTGGCTTTCCTCTGGCTTCCTGGACATTGTCATCATTATTCACAACATCCCTGCAAAGGAGGCCATCCCCAAACAGAAAGGGGGTACATTGTAGAATTGTAATACTTTGATTCCACTTTAAGAGATGAGTTGATGTATAAGTATGTGTGAGGAAGTCCTAAAGAGGAGGGAGCAAGCTTGTTTTCTGCTGCTCTGGAGAAGAGATGCAGAACAATGGCTTCAAATTACAAGAAAGGAGATTCCATCTGAACATTAGGAAGAACTTCCTGACTGTGAGAGCTATTCAACAGTGGAACTCTCTGCCTTGGAGTGTGGTGGAGTCTCCTTCTTTGGAGGCTTTCAAACAGACGCTGGATGGCCATCTGTAGGGGGTGCTTTGAATGCAATATTCTTGCTTCTTGGCAGAATGGGGTTGGACTGGATGGCCCATGAGGTCTCTTCCAACTCTAGGATTCTATGATTCTATGGATGGAGTTAATCATTTTGGAAACACTAGTAAAAGACCAAGGCGTGCAATGACTAACTACCTGCTTGCTGGACTGTAATTAAAGGTTGCTAATAAGAACTGAAAAGTAAACTGTGATAAAAGTAAACTGTGCACCGGGATTGTGGCGCAGCTGGCTGGGTGTCACTTGCATCAAGATCACTACTGACTGGAAGGTTGGAGTGAGCTTCCGGCCAATTTTGTGTTGCTTGTTGTCGACCTTTGTAACCCGAAAGACAGTTGCATCTGTCAAGTAGGAAATTTAGGTACCACCTATGTGTGAGGAGGCTAATTTAACTAATTTACGAGGCCATAAAAAGTCTCCAGCAAAAGCATGCGGGGAATGCGGAAAGTACTTCATCAGTGTCGCAGATGGATGGTGAAGCAACAGCTCCCCCGGTGGCCAGAAAATTGAAATGTTAAATAGCCTCTGACTGTCTGTCTATATGTGTTGTGTGTCTATGGCATTGAATGTTTACCATGCATGTGTACATTGTAATCTGCCCTGAGTCCCCTGTGGGGTGAGGAAAAGGGCGGAATAGAAATACTGTAAATAATAAATAAATAAATAAATAAATAAGAACAATGACAATGATAAGAGAAATGTTTACAATGTTAAGAAGGAAGTCAACACAAGGCTAACACCAATCAAGAAGAGTCAACATCTGGCCAGGAAACTGAAATGCAGCCAAGTTGGAAGATGTCTATCATTAATGTACAACTTTGGGGCAACATCAGTAGAATATTCCTATAAAAGACTCAATCTAATAATGCTCAAAGTGTGGCAGACCTGAGGAGTCTGTTCTACCCGCCATGCTCTGCTCCGTGGGAAGGAGAGAGACAGTGTACCTATGGAGAGTGTCAGATATGCAATGGGAAAGCATGATCCTGGTCTCTTTGGGGCTGCTTTCTCAAGGGAAGAGGAAGTCTTGGATTTTGTGCAGGGAGTCAGGTTCTGCAGTATGGAAAACACAGATCTGTTCAAAATGTAGTTTCCCATGAGAATGTCCCTGAGGGGTGTGGGGATGATGGTGTGCTCTCTGAATTGTTACCAGAGAGTTCTCATGATGGGGAACATGAAAACAGCTCGGCACCTGGCTCAGCTGCAGAAATTAATGAGCAAATAGATAGATGGGAGATCAGTCAAAACAGGAGAGCCGAACAGTGGCTTCGGCGTTCTGCCAGGCTGCGAGAGAAAAAGATAAGACATTCTCAGCTAAAGCAAAACTAATTTGTGGCCGCTTGGGACATTGCTTAACAAGGAGATAAAAGCCCCAAGTACAGGATATGTAGTCAGATGAAGCAACGTTTGGAATCAAGTCAAGATCTCGTCCTTGTTTAATGGCAGCTTTGCCTGGAAAATTCATGTTTTAAATGCTTTTCTTTCATGGTTTTGATTCTTGGAATTTATGCCTTGGATTCATGTTTCCTGATTTCTTGCATTTTGTTTGGGAAGTTTTGACTTTGTTTTTATGGACTTTGCTGGACTATTACTCTGAACTACTTTGTTCCTGCCTATCTGGTCCTTGGCATTGTGCTTAGGGAAAGAAGTTGTGGCATTTTGGCATTTTGACATTATGGTGTTATGGAAGTTTTGGAACTATGTGTTTGAAAGACTGCAGGAAAGCAGGGTCTGGCCTAAGAGGTGCTTCTCCAAGGAGGGAGAAAAGGATATGGGAATATTTGGAGACATGAGAATCAATGAGTGTACACATGTGTGAATGGTGATTGAAAATGTAACTCTCCTTTTGTTTGTTTACTAGGCAGTGTAATTGTAAACCCAATGTAGATGCATCGAATCTGGATGTCTGTATATCTAGTGTAAAAGTGTAGATGTTCTATTATGTTTGATATACCCTCTCACACTGGAAATTGCAGTAAAAAGAACCAGCTCGACCCCCTTCGGCCAGGCAGGAAAACACAATCCAAGCCTTCCCGACAGATGGCCATCATCCAGCTACTCACCAAACTACAACTTCCATAGAATTAGAGCCATGTGGTGCCGTACAACACTCAATCTGCGATGCTTGTAGATGCACCCAATAGTTCACCAAACTACAGCTCCCAGGATCTCATAGCAGTTTAGCTTTAAAATACAACAAAACTACAACTCCCGGGAGTCTACAATACTATGGAGCCATGGCAATTCAAATTGAGGTCATGCTATGTTCACTTTATGACAATTGTAGGTGCACCCAATAGCTCACCAATCTACAACTCCCAGCATCTTATAGCAGTGCTTTAAAATCCCAAAAAACTACAACTCCCAGTAGTCTACAATGCTATGGAGCCATGACAGTTCAAAGTGAGGCCATGCTATATTCACTTTATGATAATTATAGATGCACCGAATCGCCCATCAAACTACACCTCCCAGCATCTCATAGCAGTGCTTTACAATCCCACAAAACTACAACTTTCAGGAGTCCATAATGCTATGGTGCCATGGCAGTTCAAAGCTACCTTCATTCTATGATTATTGTAGATGCCCCAATAGCTCACCAAACTACACCTCCCAGCATCTCATAGCAGTGCTTTAAAATCCCACAAAACTACAACTCCCAGGAGTCCATAATACTATGGAGCCACAGCAGTTCAAAGTGGTGCCAAAATGCCCTCATTCAATGAGTGTAGATACACCCAATATTTCACCAAACTACAACTCCCAGAATCTCATAGCAGTGTAGCTTTAAAATCCCACCAAACTACAACTCCCAGTATCTCATAGAATTAGAGCCATGTGGTGCCATACTACATACATTCTATGGTGATTTTACATATCTCCAATAGTTCACCAAACAACAACTCCCAGCATCTGATAGCAGTGCTTTAAAATCCCACAAAACTACAACTCCCAGGAGTCCATAATACTATGGAGCCATGGCAGTTCAAAGAGAAGTCATTCTATATTCACTCTACGACGATTGTAGATGCACCCAATAGCTCACCAAACTACAACTCCCAACAGTGCTTTAAAGTCCCACAAAACTACAACTCCCAGGAATCCATAATACTTTGGAGCCATGGTGGTTCAAAGTGGTGCCATGCTACATTCATTCTACAATGCTTGATGATGCACCCAATGGCTCACCAAACTACAACTCCCAGGATGTCATAGCAGTGTAGCTTTAAAATCCCACCAAACTACAACTCCCAGTATCCCATAGGAATAGAGACATGTGCTGCCATACTACATACATTCTGTAGTGATTTTAGATACACCCAATAGTTCACCAAACTACAACTCCCAGCATCTCATAGCAGTGTAGCTTTAAAATCCCACAAAACTACAACTCCCAGGAGTTCATAATACTATGGAGCCATGGCAGTTCAAAGTAGTGCTGTGCTACATTCATTCTAGGGTGATTGCAGGTGCACCCAATAGCTCCCCAAACTACAGATCCCAGGACCTCCTAGCACTGAGCCAGAGCAGTTCAAACTGCATCCCTGCTGCAGTGTAGCTGGAGCCCAAGTCTCTAGACCTCAAGGAGGGGAAGAGAAGAGCAAGTGGGGAGATTGGGATGGGGACGCCACGAACCTGGAGGAGGCGGACCGTGGAGGAGAGCTGCAGCGGACCGTGGGGAGGACTGCAAGAGCCACAATCGGGGTCCCCCTCCCTCCCTCCGTCCCTCCCTCCCAAAGACGTCCACACCAGCCCCCATTGTTGACGGCGTCTCCTAGCAACCGGACCCACGGGACCGCCCCTTTCCCCTCCCTCCCTATCTCCCCCCCCCCTCAAGTCTTGTGTCCTCAGGCGGGGCCAAAACAAGGGCGGCGCCAGGGAAAAGGTCAGCCCAGGACTCCCATTCGAAAGTCTCTGGAGAAGAGAATGGCTGAGAGAAAGGAGACCCCCATTGAGGAGGAAGGAATGGGCAATCTTGCTCCATGGGGCACAAGGGATGCAACATGCAAGGAAAGAGGTCCCACCTCAACATTGGGAAGAACTGGGTGGCTGTGAGTTTTCTGGGCTGCCTGGCCAGGTTCCCGAAGCATTCTCACCTGCATCTATGGCAGAGGTTGTGAGGTCTAGGTTCTTGTGGGTTTTTTCGGGCTATATGGCCATGTTCTAGAGGCATTTTCTCCTGATGTTTCGCCTGCATCTATGGCAAGTATCCTCAGAGGTAGTGAGGTCTGTCGGAAGTAGGAAAATGGGTTTATATATCTGTGGAATGACTGGGGTGGGGCAAAGAGCTCTTGTCTGCTGGAGCTAGGTGTGAATGTTTCAACTGATCACCTTCATTAGCATTTGAAGGCCTGGCTGAGCCTGGGGGAATCTTTTGTTGAGAGGTGTTAAGATGTGCCTGGTTGTTTTCTCTCAACAAAGACCACCAGCAATGGTCCTCCGCCATCAACTCCGCTGGACTGGCCACGTTGTCCCGATGCCCGACCACCATCTCCCAAAGCAGTTGCTCTACTCCGAACTCAAAAATGGAAAACAGAATGTTGGTGGGCAGGAAAAGAGATTGAAAGACGGGCTCAAAGCCAACCTTAAAAACTCTGGTATAGACACTGAGAACTGGGAAATCCAGGCCCTTGACTGCTCCAGCTGGAGGTCAGCTGTGACCAGCAGTGCTGCAGAATTTGAAGAGGCACGAATGGAGGGCAAAAGAGAGAAGCGTGCCAAGAGAAAGGCACATCAAGCCAACCCCAACCAAGACCGCCTTCCACCTGGAAACTAATGCCCACTGTGGGAGAAGATGCAGGTCAAGAATAGGGCTCCACAGCCACATACGGACCCACAAGAATACTGGAAGACAATCCTCCCCGGAAAACAAGGGATCGCCTAAGTAAGTAAGTAAAGTGAGTAAGGTTTTTTCGGGCTGTATGGCCATGTTCTAGAGCAGGGGTAGGGAACCTTTGGCCCTCCAGCTGTGGTGGACTTCAACTCCCACAATTCCTTGAGGCTCGGCATTCACCCCAAAGGCTTACCTTGGCCCAATGCCGAGCCTCAAGGAATTGTGGGAGTTGAAGTCCACCACAGCTGGAGGGCCAAAGGTTCCCTACCCCTGTTCTAGAGGCATTCTCTCCTGACGTTTCACCTGAATCTATGGCAAGCATCCTCAGAGCTATTGAGGTCTATTGGAACTAGGAAAAAGGGTTTATATATCTGTAGAATGACCAGGGTGAGACAAAGGACTCTTGTCTGCTGGAGCTAGGTGTGAATGGGTTGTTGTAGGTTTTTTCGGGCTATATGGCCATGGTCTAGAGGCATTCTCTCCTGACATTTTGCCTGCATCTATGGCAAGCATCCTCAGAGGTAGTGAGGTGTGAATGTTTCAACTGACCACCTTGATTAGCATTTAATGGCCTGGCAGTGCCTGGGGCAATCTTTTGTTGAGAGGGATTGCATGTCCCAGATCTGCAAGGCTATTCAAGGCTAATCAAAGTCATCAATGGCAACATTCCCACTTGCCTCCAACAGGCAAGAATTCTTCTCCCACCCTAGACATTATTCCACAGATATATAGAATCATAGAATCCTTGAGTTGGAAGAGACCTGGTGGGCCACCCAGTCCAACCCCATTCTGCCAAGTAGCAGGAAAATCACATTCAGAGCACCCGTGACAGATGACCATCCAGCCTCTGTTTAAAAGCCTCCAAAGAAGTAGCCTCCACCACACTCTGGGGCAGAGAGAGACAGTTCCACTGCTGAACAGCTCTCTCTCCCCATTAGGAAGTTCTTCCCCAGGTTCAGGTGGCATCTCCTTCCTTTCCTGTAGAATCATAGAATCCTGGGCCATCCAGTCCAACCCCATTTTGCCAAGAAGCAGGAAAATTGCAATCAAAGCACCCTTGACTGATGGCCACCCAGCCTCTGTTTAAAAGCTTCCAAAGATGGAGCCTCCACCACACTCTGGGGCAGAGAGTTCCACTGCTGAACGGCTCTCACAGTCAGGAAGTTCTTCTTTATGTTCAGATGGGATCTCCTCTCTTGTAGTTTGAATCCATGGCTCCATTGCATCCTAGTCTACAGGGAAGCAGAACACAAGCTTGCTCCCTCCTCCCTATGACTTCCTCTCACGTATTTATACATGGCTATCATGTCTCCTCTCAGCCTTCTCTTCTTCAGGCTAAACATGCCCAGCTCCTTAAGCCGCTCCTCATAGGGCTTGTTCTCCAGACCCTTGGTCATTTTAGTTGCCGTCCTCTGGACACATTCCAGCTTGTCACAGAATCATAGAGTTGGAAGAGACCTCATGGGCCATCCAGTCCAAACCCCTTGCCAAGAAGCAGGAATATTGCATTCAAATAACCCCGACAGATGGCCATCCAACCTCTTGTTTAAAAGCTTCCAAAGAAGGAGCCTCCACCAATATCTCTGTAGTTTGAAGCCATTGCTCCTTTGCATCCTTGTCTCCAGGGTAGCAGAAAGAAAGCCTGCTCCCTCCTCCCTAGGACTTACCCTCACCTCTTGATAAACCTTTCTCCCAAGGCCTGACAGAAACATTCTCATGAGAATCTGCCCTTTGCACCGAAGCCTCTCTGTCAGTGTCTGCATGAAACCCATTGACCAAAGTGTCTCCCTCTTGCACCTCAGAGTCAGTCCCAGCACCCCCCACATCAGACTCAACTGGCGACTGATTTCCCTCCTAATTACTCACATCAGACACAGAAACATCAGGAGACTGAAACACATTCACAGGTTCAGGTTCAATAGGTTCAATCACAGGCTGAGTCCCAACACAAATATGGCTTCCAACTTACAAAACTTCCGATTTTCTTACGATTTCCAAAACCTTCCATTTTTTGCACATGCCTATTGATTACTCCAGAAACTAACTGGCTATGATCTGTGCTCAGAGTGGCTCAGGACCCCATTGGATGCTTTTGATGGTTGGCTCTTCTTGGCAGAGGGAAATCCAATCAACTGTCATTGAAGCATTTGCGGTGTCAATCCATTTATTCATCTGCCTCTGAGAGAGGCGTGATTTAAAAGGAATGCAGTGTGGAATTGGGAAATGGCTCCATGGTGGGATTAATGGTCTGGCTCTGGGGAACACAATGTACTCTGTGGAGACTTAGATTCCTACTTTGTATGGATTTTTGCCCTCTGTTCTTGTTATGTACCTGCAGTTTAGTTCTAATTTTATAGCAATGATGCACGAAGGTGTCAACTTTCACGATCTTTGGTGACACGGCCTGAGTCAGGATTGGAACCATGTCCGGACCAAAGAGTTAAAGTCCTATGCATCCTGCCATGTCAGAGTCCTAGGCTGTGTTGGAGCTCAGCCTGTGATTGTGTTTCAGGATCAGGGTGCTTTGGATGTGGGGAGTGATTTCAATGTGTTTCAAGATGAGTTTCAAGATGGCAATAGTTTGGTCAATGATATTGATGCAGAGAATGACCAGGAGATCCCTGTTCAAAGTGTAGTTTCCCATGAGAATGTCCCTGAGGGGTGTGGGGATGATGGTGTGCTCTCTGAATTGTTACCAGAGAGTTCCCATGATAGGGAACATTAAGACAGCTTGGCACCTGGCCCAACCGCAGAAATTAATGAGCAAATAGATAGACGGGAGGACAACGGTTAAAACAGGAGAGCCGGCGTTCTGCCAGGCTCCGAGAGAAAAAGATAAGACATTCTCAGCTAAAGCAAAACCAATTTGTGGCCACTTGGGACATAGCTTAATGAGGAGATAAAAAGTCCCAAGTACAGGATATGTAGTCAGATGAAGCATCGTTTGGAATTACGTTAAGGTCTCGTCCTCGTTTCATGGAAGCTTTCCTTGGAAAATTATGTTTTAAGTGCCTTTGTTTCATGGTTTTGATTCTTGGAATTTATGCTTTGATATTCATGCCTTGGATTCATGTTTCCTGATTTCTTGCATTTTGTTTGGGAAGTCGTGACTTTGTTTTTATGCTGGACTATTACCCTGGACTACTTTGTTCCTGCTTCTCTTCCTACCTACTGTAATTGGATTTACCTATTTCTTTAAAAGCGCTTTTTACTTTCCTGCTTTTTAATTACCTTCAATAAAAGGATTGTTTCCCTATCTAATGGTGTGGTGTTTAAAGTCAGAGGGCTTTTCCTGTCCTGAAGTGCAACAGGCTGCATCTACGCTGTAGTGAAATGGCAGGGAGAAGGTTTGAGGAAAAGAGACAAAGACAGGTCCAGAGGTCTCAAAAGCACAGATTTTATTTCCAGCTGGGACTCTGGTGAGGAGTTGTGTCCCAAAAGCACCAGAGCCCCGATATAGGCGTTGACTATGGCTTTTATACCCTCCAATCGCAGGCAAACAAAGAACATGCTTCTGCATACATTGACATCATTCACTGTGTCACCTTAGCACCATACAAATATCAAATTCTATCTTCCAACATACAAAAGGCATGTCTCTGTGTATTTCTTTCTAGCAGCAGCACACAGCTTACATTCATCAATCAAGGGGCCTACTTTGACCTGTCATGAGGCTCCTTACTTTTTACTTATCTCTGTTGCTTCTAGGACAGGCTTATCTCTCTCCTGGAATGTTCCCCCGCCTGCCCGTGCCTTGGACACAGATCTCCTTCAGCATTCTTTCTATACAGAGAGAACTTGATTTTTCTATACATTTCAGTGCTTGTAAAGTACATACAATTTATGCATAAATAAATATCTATTTTTCCAATATCTCCTCATCAGTACTTTATCTGCCATGACTCAGTGCTATGGAACCCTGGGAGCTGCAGTTTCACAAGATCTTAGCAATTTCTGCCAAAGCATACTGGTGCCTCACCAAATTATAAATCCCAGGATTTCACAGCATCAAGTCAGGGCAGTTCAAGTGGAGGAAAAATGTGTATCTGTGCATAGTTGTCTGAAACAGCTTGGAAAGAAAACCATCATGCCAGGTAGCGGGAAAGAGTAGCCATCTTTGAGGTTGTTGAGTTTCATCCTTGACTGCACAAGTCTCCAGTTCTCAATGAGTAGTTAGCCTAGATAGGCTGAGGGATTCTTCCCCAATTTCCTTTAGCTAGTTTGTTTTAAGAAGGGGTTAAGAAGGGGGTTGTCTTACTGATCTTTGTGTGGCACTATCTCCTCTCCTCTGAATACCTAGGAATGTGATCTCTTTAGGGAAATGTAACTTCCTCTTTAAAGGTATTTGTATTGCCCTGGGTTGGCCATGTGGCCTGTCTCCATTTTCTTTCCTCTTCTCCTTTTGTTTTCTCTAGAGTGAAGAGGCATCTTGCCATTGTCTAAGGCAAGATGTAGTAGATATTGTTGTTGTTGTTCATTCGTTCAGTCGTCTCCGACTCTTCATGACCTCATGGACCAGCCCACGCCAGAGCTCCCTGTCAGCCGTCACCACCCTCAGCTCCTTCAAGGTCAGTCCAGTCACTTCAAGGATGCCATCCATCCATCTTGCCCTTGGTCGGCCCCTCTTCCTTTTACCTTCCACTTTCCCCAGCATAATTGTCTTCTCTAGGCTTTGCTGTCTCCTCATGATGTGGCCAAAGGACTTCCACTTTGTCTCTAGTCTCCTTCCCTCCAATGAGCAGCCGGGCTTTATTTCCTGGAGGATGGACTGGTTGGATCTTCTTGCAGTCCAAGGCACTCTCAGCACTTTCCTCCAACACCACAGTTCAAGAGCATCTCTCTTCCTTTGCTCAGCCTTCCCTAAGGTCCAGCTCTCACATCTGTAGGTTACTACAGGGAATACCATGGCTTTGACTATGCAGATCTTTGTTGCCAAACAATAAATCCCAGGATTTCACAGCATCAAGTCAGGGCAGTTCAAGTGGAGGAAAAATGTGTATCTGTGCATAGTTGGCTGAAACAGCTTGGAAAGAAAACCATCCTGCCAGGTAGTGGGAAAGAGTAGCCTTCTTTGAGGTTGTTGGGTTTAATTCCTGACTGCACAAGTTTCCAGCTCTCAATGAGTAGTTAGCCTAGATAGGCTGAGGGATTCTTCCCCAATTTCCTTTAGCTAGTTTGTTTTAAGAAGGGGTTAAGAAGGGGGTTGTCTTACTGATCTTTGTGTGGCACTATCTCCTCTCCTCTGAATACCTAGGAATGTGATCTCTTTAGGGAAATGTAACTTCCTCTTTAAAGGTATTTGTATTGCCCTGGGCTGGCCATGTGGCCTGTCTCCATTTTCTGGCCTCTTCTCCTTTTGTCTTTTCTAGAGTGAGGAGGCATCTTGCCTTTGTCTAAGGCAAGATGTAGTAGATGTAGTTACTTTTATTATTTTTCGTTTTCCTAAGAAGATAGCTCAGTGAAGCTAGTTTACTCCAAGAACCTTTCCTATCTAGAATGGATTTCTTTTATCTTTAAAAAAACATATTATTTTTGATCCTATGAGTTGTGGATCTGCAATCCTGTTCCATCCTGTTGAATGGAAGTCAATCCTTCTCACTACAGGTACGTTTCTACTGCTTATGTACTGTGCATCCTGCACTCTGCTATATTTTTGGTGGACTCATCCCCAGATTTTTGAGCCTAACAGCTCTTGATTCCCAACAGAGGTCCAAAAACCAAAGTTGTTGGATGGAAACAAAGGAGATATTGGGTTGTAGGAAACAAAGGAGATATTCTCAGAGGTGTATGCTCAGAAAAGAATTTATTATTATCTCAGGTGAAGAGGAACAGCAGGGAAGACAAAAGCCTGGCAGAGGCCAACACCCCAACCCAACCCACCCATGGGCTTCGTTGGCTTGCTTCTCATCTTCATGTCCCACATGGAAAACTATAGATTCAGCCAGGGGAGGAGGTCCTTCATTAGAAGAGGTTTGCTCTGAGCCCGGAGGTTTGTTCCATGCCCAAGCAAGGAGCGGGCTCTGGAAAAGCACACTTTTTGCCTTGGAAGGAAAAGCAGGCTGGGATTCACTTTCGTTGAGCAGAATTTACGAAGCAAACTGGGATTATAGAGTGGGAGGAATCAAAACTAGGGAAAGGTACAGACATTGGGCAATAAATGGGAAGAAAAGGACATTGTGCCTGGGATTTGAAAGAGACCCCCAGGAACAGGAGAAGGGCCAGGTCGCTTCTTGATGCTGGAGAATTTTGGGAGATTTGGAGCATTGCTAGGTGCAGACTTCTTCCCTTGGATCTCAAAGGATGTCCTCTCTTCATGACCCATTTATTGCTGAAGGCCCATCGCCGGCCTAGTATGCTGCTGGGTACTTGCACAGGAATGAATATGTCCTGGAGCAATCTACCTGTGTCCACCTGGCAGAAGCTGTAAGGCAAACAGACAAAAATGGAGACAATGAGAATAATGTTCTCGTAGCCCTGATTTGTTGCTTCCCCTCACAGCTCACGAAGTCTTCTTACCTCATCACACCAGATCATGGATCCACTTTCAATCTAGTTTCTGCCTCCTGCAGAATTCTGGGGTTTGTAGTTTAGTGAGGTAGTTTAAAGGACCCTCACTAAACTATAAGCCCCAGAATCCTGAGGGAACAGAAACTGTATTGAAAGTGGATCCATGCTCTAGTCCAGTGTTTCTCAACCTGAGGGTCAGGATCGCTGTGGGGGTCGCAAGGGGGTGTCAGAGGGGTCGCCAAAGACCATCAGAAAACACAGTATTTTCTGTTGGTCATGGGGGTTCTGTGTGGGAAGTTTGGCCCAATTCTATCCTTGATGTGGTTCAAAATGATCTGTGAATTTAGGTGAACTATAAATCCCAGTAACTACAACTCCCAAATGTCAAGGTCTATTTCCTCCAAACTCCATCTGTGTTCATATTTGGGTATAGAATCATAGAATCAAAGAGTTGGAAGAGACCTCATGGGCCATCCAGTCCAACCCCATTCTGCCAAGAAGCAGGAATATTGCATTTAAATCACCCCTGACAGATGGCCATCCAGCCTCTGTTTAAAAGCTTCTAAAGAAGGAGCCTCCACCACAATCCGGGGCAGAGAGTTCCACTGCTGAACGGCTCTCACAGTCAGGAAGTTCTTCCTCATGTTCAGATGGAATCTCCTCTCTTGTAGTTTGAAGCCATTGTTCCGCGTCCTAGTCTCCAGTATATGGTGTGTTCGTGCCAAGTTTGGTCCAGATCTATCATTGTTTGAATCCACAGTGCTCTGTGGATGTAGGTGAACTACAACTCCAAAAATCAAGGTCAATGCCCACCAATCCCTTCCAGTATTTTCTGTTGGTTGTGGGAGTTCTGTGTGCCAAGTTTGGTTCAGTTCCCTCGTTGGTGGAGTTTGGAATGCTCTTTGATTGTAGGTGAACGATAAATCCCAGCAACAACAACTCCCAAATGACAAAATCAACACCCCCTCCCCTCCCCACACACACACACACACACACACAATCCCACCAGTATTCAAATTTGGGTATATCGGGTATTTGTGTCAAATTTGATCCAGTGAATGAAAATACATCCTGCACATCAGATATTTACACGACAATTCATAACAGGAGCAAAATAACAGTTCTGAAGTAACAAAGAAAATAATTGGGTTGTTGTAGGTTTTTTCGGGTTGGTTCATCAGGTGCTCTGCTATGGCTGATTTCTCTGGTTGAAGTAGTCTGCAGTGCCTTTCATGTTCCTTGTACCAGTATTAAAAAAACTCTAAAATTGCAACAGCACAACAACAGAGAGGAAACAAACAAGGACATCTAATTACCTCTCAACAAAAGTTTGCCCCAGGCGCAGTCAGGCCATTGTATGCTAATCCAGGTGGTCAGTTGAAACATTCACACCTAGCTCCAGCAGACAAGAGTCCTTTGTCCCACCCTGGTCATTCCACAGATATATAAACCCATTTTCCTAGTTCCAACAGACCTCACTACCTCTGAGGATGCTTGCCATAGATGCAGGTGAAACATCAGGACAGAATGCCTCTAGACCATGGCCATACAGCCTGAAAAACCTACAACAACCCAGTGATTCCTGCCATGAAAGCCTTCGACAATACAAAGAAAATAATGTTATGGTTGGGGGTCACCACAACATAAGGAACTGTGTTAAGGGGTCACGGCATTAGGAAGGTTGAGAACCACTGCCTAGTCCGATGAAGTCCTTAGGCAAGCTGCGGAGAGTGTCTCTGCTCCCAGCCATTTCCCTTGTGAGTGCCTCCATATGCACCTGTTGGATGCTGCACATTGCAGAGTGCAGCGCATCTGCTGGATGAGAGGGTGGTGCTGGGTTTCCTGTTGTCCCAAAGAGCAGATCCAGGAGGGTATGCAAAGCCATCTGCCCATCCCCACTTGAGCTTCTGCAGGAGAGAGAAAAGATCAGTTTCATGAATGCAGGCGTTTTTGAGCTTCTATGGAAACGAAAAGAGGATTTCCATGAATGGAGGGACAGGTGGAGAGGGAGAAAGAGAGTTCAATTCTGGGATACTGTCTCTTGGGAAGACAGGCGGGGAAATGTCAGCATACTGGAAGAAGCAAAGACCACCAGCATTGAAGTGATGGTCCTCCACCATCAACTCCGCTGGATTGGACACATTGTCCGAATGCCCAAAGATCACCATCTCCCAAAGCAGTTACTCTACTCCCAACACAAGAATGGGAAACTTAATGTTCGGGGACAGGAAAAGAGATTCAAAGATGGGCTTAAAGCCAACCTTAAAACTTACTTACTTGCTTATTTACTTAGGTGATCCCTCGTTGTCTGAGTAAGATTGTCCTCCAAGTTCAATGTCCTGATTGTGGGTACATAGGTGACTGTGGAGCCTTATTCTTGACCCGCATGTTCTCCCGCAGGTAGAAGGCGATCTCAGTCAGTGTTGGCTTGATACACCTTCCTCTTGGCATGTTACTCTCTTTTGCTCTCCATTCGTGCCTCTTCAAATTCTGCAGCACTGCTGGTCACAGCTGACCTCCAGCTGGAGAACTTAAGGGTGAGGGCTTCCCAGTTCTCGGTGTCTATGCCACAGTTTTTAAGGTTGGCTTTGAACCCATCTTTATATCTCTTTTCCTCCAACATTACGTTTCTCGTTCTTGAGTTCGGAGTAGAGCAACTGCTTTACTCCGAGACGGTGATCAGGCATTCAGACAACGTGGCCGGTCTAGTGGAGTTGATGGCGGAGGAGCATCGCTTCAATTCTGGTGGTCTTTGCTTTTTCTTCCAGCATGCTGACACTTGTCTGCCTGTCTTCCCAAGAGATTCGCAGGATTTTCCAGATGCAACACTGATGGAATCATTCCAGGAGTTGCATGTGACGTCTGTAGATAGTCCATGTTTTGTAGGCATATTGCACGGTTGGGAGGACAATGGCTTTATAAACAAGCCCCTTGGTCTCTCCTACGGATGTCCCAGTCCTCAAACACTCTCTGCTTCATTTCCCCACTTGTCTTCCCAAGAGATTTGCAGGATTTTCCGGAGGCAGCGCTGATGGAATCGTTCCAGGAGTTGCATGTGACGTCTGTAGACAGTCCATGTTTCGCAGGCGTAGAGCAGGGTTGGGGGGACAATGGCTTTATAAATAAGCCCCTTGGTCTCTCCTACGGATGTCCCGGTCCTCAAACACTCTCTGCCTCATTCGGAAGAATGCTGCACTCGCAGAGCTCAGGCGGTGTTGTATTTGAGTGTCAATGTTAACTTTTGTGGAGAGGTGGCTGCCAGGGTAGCAGAAATGATCAACATTTTCTAGCGTTACACCATTAAGCTGTATTTCTGGTTTTGCAGATGGGTTGGTTGGAGATTGTTGGACCTTAAAAACTGTGGCATAGACACACAGAGACGTGGGAAGCTCTAGCTGGAGGTCAACTGTGATCAGCAGTACTGAAGAATTCAAAGAGGCATAAGTGGAGGGCAAAAGGGAGAAACGTGCCAAGAGAAAGATGCATCAACCAACCCTGGCCGGGACAGCCTTCCACCTGGAAACCAATGCCCTCACTGCGAGAGAACATACGGTTCAAGAATAGGGCTCCACAGCCACCTATGGACCCACCACCAAGACATCCACACTTAGGGGACCATCATCCTCAGCCTACGAGGGATTGCCTAAGTAAGTAAGTACTGAACAAGTGAGAGACCACGGCAAGGTCAGGAAGTGGAATGAATTGAAAAGCAGAACCCACATCGGGGAGATGAATTCCTTTTGGGGGCTCACTTGGAACCTTTTGATTAATTTGCTTTCCAAGCATGATTTACCCAGTGAGTCCCAAGAGATCCTCCATATGTAAGAAGGAAGCAGCAGATCTCTCATTGAATTAATGGAGGTTATCTGCAACAGACCCAAGGCATCAAGGGCACCAGTTCAAACTGGAAGCTGCCTTCAAGCGATGTATTGAAGTTGTATAGGAAACATTTTGTGTTCACACTTGGCCCCATCTCCAAGGTATCTCCTAATGCAAACACATGTATCCTAAAGTCCAATATGTGGGACCCTGTAGGTCTTCAGGCCTCAAGCATGTAGGAGAGGGAGGCTCATGCTATGCAGAAAGGGCTGTCACTTGTGAGCCCTTTGAGTGAGAAGTGGAGACCCCCCATCGCAATGTCTTCCAAGGGTTCTTGCTCACCGAGGATACAGGTGTGGCGTGGAAACCAATCCAGACTCTGGATGGGCTGTTCGTTTGCTTGATGTACTTCGAAATAATATTTTCCTCTTTATCTGACTGAATGGAAGCTAAGTGACCGGCTCGCCAAAACTGGCAGTAATCCTGCACAGGGAGAAAGAGAAAGAGAGAGAGAGGAGACAAAATATGGTTTGGGGGGGGGGGGGCTCACCTGGTCAGGCCCTCAATCCTCAGTGTCTTTGCCAGAAACCCGAGCAGTCTTCCCAGTAAAGAGGAAACGAAGCCCAGTTGTTGGCAGGAGGCAAGGCTTAGAACAGTGATGGGCAACCTTTTGAGTTTGGTGTGTCAAAATTCACCAAAAAAAATAAGTGAGGTGTCACTTCGAGAAAAAAAAACCCCATAATTTTGTGATATTTAAAGCTTAAATAACAAAAATGTGTAATTTTAATACAGGTAAAGGTAAGGTTTCCCCCTGACATTAAATCCAGTCGTGTCTGACTCTGGGACTCTGATGCTCATCTTCATTTCTAAGCTGAAGAGCCAGCATTGTCCGTAGACACCTCCAAGATGGCCATTGGCATGACTGCATGGAGCGCCGTTACCTTCCTGCCGGAGCGGTACCTATTGATCTACTCACATTTGCATGTTTTCGAACAGCTAGGTTGGGAGAAGCTGGGTCTGACAGCGAGAGCTCAGGCTGCTCCCTGGATTCAAACCCGTGATCTTTCGGTCAACAAGCTCAGCGGTTTAACTCACTGCGCCACCGGGGATTCCCATAATTCATAGAATCATAGAATCAAAGAGTTGGAAGAGACCTCATGGGCCATCCAGTCCAACCCCATTCTGCCAAGAAGCAGGAATATTGCATTCAAATCACCCCTGACAAATGGCCATCCAGCCTCTGCTTAAAAGCTTCCAAAGAAGGAGCCTCCATCACACTCCAGGGCAGAGAGTTCCACTGCTGAACGGCTCTCAGTCAGGAAGTTCTTCCTAATGTTCAGATGGAATCTCCTCTCTTGTAGTTTGAAGCCATTGTTCCGCGTCCTGATCTCCAAGGAAGCAGAAAACAAGCTTGCTCCTTCCTCCTCCCTGTGGCTTCCTCTCACATATTTATACATGACTATCATATCTCCTCTCAGCCTTCCCTTCTTCAGGCTAAACATGCCCAGTTCCCTAAGCCGCTCCTCATAGGGCTTGTTCTCCAGACCCTTGATCATTTTAGTCGCCCTCCTTGTAATATATAACTGTATTTAATGGACCAAAAACTAATTACCGGGACTGTGGTGCAGCTGGCTGGGAATCAACTGCATTAAGATCACTACTGACTGAAAGGTCATGAGTTCGAAGCCAGCCTGGGTTGGAGTGAGCTTCCGGCCAATTTTGTGTAGCTTGTTGTCGACCTTTGCAACCCAAAAGACAGTTGCATCTGTCAAGTAGGAAAATTAGGTACCACTTATGTGGGGAGGCTAAGTTAATTAATTTACGAGGCCATAAAAAAATCTGCAGCAAAGTATGCAAAGAATGAGGAAGTACTTCATCATTGTCACATATTGACGGTGAAGCAACAGCTCCCCTGGTGGCCAGAAAAAGCTGGAATGTTAAATAGCCTCTGACTGTCTGTCTATATGTGTCATGTGTCTATGGCATTGAATGTTTGCCATGTATATGTACATTGTAATCGGCCCTGAGTCCCCTGCGGGGTAGGAATTTTAATATAAATACTGTAAATAAATAAATGACTTGACTTAACTGCTTACTGACTTCTTTGTTCATTCATCATTCGGTTTCTTTTATTGGTCTTGATATTATTTAACTTGTGTGAGGTGCTGTGAACTAAGATAAGTGAGAGGCAGGGGAAATTCTTTCACTCACCTGCCTATTAGTGACCCAGCCTCCCCCTCACTGCCAAACATACTTGTGACGCAGGCGGGACCCAGAGCAGGGCCTCCCCAAACGAATCTTAACATACTAGCTGGTTCAGCTTTTAAAACATTTCTATTATCCATTTTTAGTTAACCTCTGATGGATGTTGAACATGGCACACCCTGCTGTACCTCCAGATGGGCCAAAACTAACAAAATGAAGTTCAACAGGGACAAATGCAAGATACTCCACTTTGGCAGGAAAAACGAAATGCAAAGATACAGAATGGAGGACAATGCCTGGCTCGAGAGCAGTACGTGTGAAAAAGATCTTGGAGTCCTCGTGGACAACAAGTTAAACATGAGCCAACAATGTGATGTGGTGGCAAAAAAAGCCAATGGGATTTTGTCCTGCATCAATAGGAGCATAGTGTCTAGATCTAGGGAAGTCATGCTCCCCATGCTCTATTCCGCCTTGGTTAGACCACACCTGGAATATTGTGTCCAATTCTGGGCACCACAATTCAAGAGAGATTGACAAGCTGGAATGTGTCCAGAGGAGGGCGACTAAAATGATCAAGGGTCTGGAGAACAAGCCCTATGAGGAGCGGCTTAGGGAACTGGGCATGTTTAGCCTGAAGAAGAGAAGGCTGAGAGGAGATATGATAGCCATGTATAAATATGTGAGAGGAAGCCACAGGGAGGAGGAGGGAGCAAGCTTCCTTTCTGCTTCCCTGGAGACTAGGACACAATGGAACAATGGCTTCAAACTACAAGAGAGGAGATTCCATCTGAACATGAGGAAGAACTTCCTGACTGTGAGAGCCGTTCAGCAGTGGAACTCTCTGCCCCGGAGTGTGGTGGAGGCTCCTTCTTTGGAAGCTTTTAAACAGAGGCTGGATGGCCATCTGTCAAGGGTGATTTGAATGCAATATTCCTGCTTCTTGGCAGAATGGGGTTGGACGGGATGACCCATGAGGTCTCTTCCAACTCTTTGATTCTATGATTCTATGATTCTAGATTCTATGGTTCCATACAATTGAACTGGCAAAATGGCACTGCCTACAAGAATCCCACCCCTCGTGTGACTGGAGCGCAACTGACCACTCCGCATCTGTATGCTTGCCCACTGTGCCCTGCCTCATGTACAGAGGAAGAATTGTTGGAGGCTACAGATAATGCCATTGCTGATGGCCATTTTTGGTCAAAAGATACTTAGCCACCTGCGTGCCTTCTATTTTTATCAGTTTTATACTAATTTATGCAATGCTTTTGATATAGAATCATAGAATCAAAGAATCAAAGATTTGGAAGAGACCTCCTGGGCCATCCAGTCCAACCCCATTCTGCCAAGAAGCAGGAATATTGCATTCAAATCACCCCTGACAGATGGCCATCCAGCCTCTGTTTAAAAGCCTCCAAAGAAGGAGCCTCCACCACGCTCCGGGGCAGAGAGTTCCACTGCTGAACGGCTCTCACAGTCAAGTTCTTCCTAAAAGGACTGCAATCATAGAATCAAAGAGTTGGAAGAGACCTCATGGGTCATCCAGTCCAACCCCATTCTGCCAAGAAGCAGGAATATTGCATTCAAATCACCCCTGACAGATGGCCATCCAGCCCCTGTTTAAAAGCTTCCAAAGAAGGAGCCTCCACCACACTCCATCTGGGGCAGAGAGTTCCACTGCTGAACGGCTCTCACAGTCAGGAAGTTCTTCCTCATGTTCAGATGGAATCTCCTCTCTTGTAGTTTGAAGCCATTGTTCCCTTGCGTCCTAGTCTCCAGGGAAGCAGAAAGGAAGCTTGCTCCCTCCTCCTCCCTGTGGCTTCCTCTCACATATTTATACATGGCTATCATATATGAAATAAATAAATTGATTATTGATCTATAGATACTGTGGAGTTTGTGGGTATATATTAGTTTGGTGTACCTCCAGAGCACATTTTAATCCAATCAGCAAATAGGGAAATCAGTAAAAGTCAAAAGCACAAATGAATGCATTTGTGGCCGTGACTGGATGGCTGCGTGCCAGCAAGTTGAGGGTGAATCCAGCAAAGACGGAGATCCTATGGCTGGGTCGGCCGGGCAGTGGGGACATCCATCTGCCTACCCTGGATGGCAAGACGCTATGGCCGCCATCGTTGGTCAAGAGTCTGGGAGTCCTTTTGGACCCTCTGCTGACCATGGAGGCCCAGGTCTCCTCTGTTAGCAGAACCGCCTTCTTTCACCTGCGGCAGGCTAGACGGCTGGCCCCCTCCCTGTCCAGGGACGACCTCGCTACGGTGATCCAGGCCACGGTCATCTCAAGACTGGACTACTGTAATGCCCTCTACATTGGCCTTCCTCTGTCGGTGATCCGGAAGCTCAAGTTGGTACAAAATGCAGCTGCTCGGCTTCTTGCGGGAATTCCGATGAGATGCCACATCACCCCAATCTTACTGCAGCTGCATTGGTTACCAATTGAGCACCGGATCACTTTCAAAGGGATGGGACTCACCTTGAAGGCCTTGCATGGTCTGGGGCCGATGTACCTGAGGGACCGCCTCACCCCCTCCCAACCCCAGAGATCCCTCCGTTCTGAGGACCAAGATCTATTGGAAGTCCCCAGTGTCAAGACCTTGCGTCTAACAGCAACCAGACGCAGAGCCTTCACAGCAGTGGCCCGTAGCCAGGATTTCATTTTGGGGAGGGGGGGACTAAAAATTTTTCAGGGGGATTGTTGGGGTTCAGCCTGAGTTTGAACTTGAACCTGATTCTCTGTTTGTTCCTCCTGATGCTAATGAAAGTATATTTACTGATGCTAGTGGAAATGTACCTTTTGATGCCAATGCTCCTGAAATTAGTGAGGAAGAAACTGCTGTAGGTTTGGAAAATGCCAATGTTCCTGAAATTAGTGAGGAAGGAACTTCTGTAGATTTGGAAAATGAAAGTACCAGTGTTCATGAGAATGTTTCAGAGGGAAGCCTTGACCTTTCCCTCCCTTCTGCACCTGTTAACTGTAATGACAACAGAAGGGGCCAAATTTGGGAAGACAGAAGTAAATCACTCAGTTTGCGTCGATCTTCCCGAATTCAAGAATTAAAAACATTGGCTTCAAAACAGAAGGGCAGTTCACGGAACCAATTCTTTGGCTTTAATTGCTTTCCGCCGGGCTGACTTTCTCAGTTCAGGCATCGTTTCAGAATTGATGAAGACCTTGGCAGTTCTCCCGGTTCCCTGGCCATTTGGGAAGATTTCTAGGATATCAAGTACGGTTAGTGGATTGCTAACAGGTTCCAGCATTTCCCAGTGAGGCTTTTGGTTTTGCTTTGTCCATTTAAATTCATGTTTGCTGATTTTGCTGTGGCTTTTGACTTGCATTTTTCCTTTATTTTGTAACCATTTTTCTTCAATAAAAAAGGATTGTTTTTCACAGCCAAGTGTGGTGGATAGTTATCTTAGGGCCTCGTTCCCTGCTCTGGGTTGCCTGAATTTTTTTCGGGGGGGGGGGGGGCTGAGTTTCGGGGGGGGGGGGTGAGTCTGGGTGAAAGAGGGTCTAGCCTAGCAAACCTTTTGTATCATTACCCCAATACCCCCATGCATATGGGATATATTGAGTATGGTGATCAGATCATGATATGAATAAACATAACAGTTTAAATAATGCACCAGTAAGGCCTTTTCGTGAACCACCATGAGAATTTCGGGGGGGGGGGGCTGAAGCCCCTCAAGCCCCCCCCCCCCCGGCTACATGCCTGCACAGAGCCTTCACAGCAGTGGCACCATCACTCTGGAATACTCTGCCACCTGAAGTCCGTGCCTTGTGGGACTTACCAGCTTTCCGCAGGGCATGTAAGACATACCTGTTTCGACAGGCTTTTAATGTCTGATATTGCTGTTTTTAAATTGTTTTAAATTGCTTTAAATTGTGTTAGATTTTAGCTATTCTTGTAAGCCGCTCCGAGCCCCAGGGGAGTGGCAGCATAGAAGTTGGAATTATAAATAAATAAATAAAAATAAAATTTAAAATAGGACTGTGTCTGGGAGTTCTTCTCCCTTCTAGAAAGATCTGGATCATTCAATATCCTCCTTTGGTTCCCTTAACTGGTATAATCCAGCACTTACCTCAGCATCTTGCCAAGTGACTTCTTCCTCCAGATATTCATAGCACACGTTCCGGGAGTAAAGGGTCCCAGCAGGACATGGGGACCGAGGGCGAAGCAACGACCGATCCCTGGCCCCTGCAAGAGACCCAGGATAATCCCAGTTAGAAAAGACGAAGAATAGGAATGCCTTCTTTTTTATGCTGCAGGTGTGCAGTGCCTGCGGAGCCCAAAACAAGGACAGGCATCCAACCTATCCATCATATTCCTTCCCACTATTTTCACCGACACTGTGGATGTACAGTGTCCCCTCGCTACTTTGCGTTTCGCTTTTCGTGGACTCGCTGTTTCGTGGTTTTTCTCCTCTCTCCTTCTCTCCTCCTTTACCTCCCTTTTGCCCTCCTCTCCTTTGCCTACTGGAGCTTGGGATCCGATGGCAGCCTCTTTCTGTCTCCCTCCCTCCCTCCCTCCCTCCCTCCCTCCCTCCCTCCCTCCCTTTTGTTGGAGTTCAGCCTGATCCTGATCTGTGTGAACCGGATTCTCTGATAGTTTTTCCAACTGAGCAAGCTCTCCCTGACCCTGACAGTGTGGAATCTGTTGTTGATGCAGAGGTCAGCGGGGATGAAAATGAAACTCAACAGCTGGAGGAAAATGTTTTGGAAGTTAGCCGTGATATCACTAGCCGTGATATCTCTCCACCTGGGTTTTTTAATGAGGACCGAAGAGAACAGATAGTTAGAGACAGAAATATTTCCCAGTTTCTACGAAGGTCACATCGTTTACAGGAGAGACAGGCCCAGGCTTCAAAGTCAAGGGGCGTTTCAAAGAATAGCTTCTTTGGTTTAAGAGGCCTCCTGCCGGGTGCCTCTTTAGATCAAGCAACGTTTGGGACTGTGGCTGTGCCTTGGCAGAATTCCTGTGTTTCATGGCCGGTAATCCCAGAGGCTTAGTTATCAAGTTCATGGTTAGTAAAAGCCTAACAGGTTCCTGGTTCGTGTATTGTGGCTTTTGAAGTTTTGCTCAAGTTCAGAGATTCTACTGACTGCTGTGTTTTTCTGTGGCTTTTTGACTTTGCATTTACCTTTCTTTTGTAACCAATTTTTCATCAATAAACAAGGATTGCTTTTCCTACAGTCCAGTGTGGTGGATTTAATCTTATGGTCTTGTTTCTTGATCTGGGAAGCAACACCTTTCTCCTTTCTCCCTTGCACGCTCCCTCCTTTCTGGCTCTCCGGCCACAAGCTTCATCCAAGATGAAGAGGAGGAAAGGGAAGGTTCAGCCCTCTTTTTCTCTCTTGGATGGTCCCTCCCGCCTCTGATGTGCGATGATACTGGTTGGTCATGAGACCAACCTGGTGCAGGGAGATTGTGTGTGTGTGTATCTATATAAATAAAAATTTAATGAACAAAATCTGGCTACCAGTATTAAAAAACTCTAAAATTACAACAGCAAAACAGCAGAGAGGAAACAACCAGGCACATCTTAACACCTCTCAACAAAAGATTTTCCCAAGCTCAGCCAGGCCTTCAAATGCTAATGAAGGTGGTCCGTTGAAACATTCACACCTAGCTCCAGCAGAGAAGAGCTCTTTGCCCCACCCCGTTCCACAGATATATAAACCCATTTTCCTCGTTCCAACAGACCTCACTACCTCTGAGGATGCTTGCCATAGATGCAGGCGAAACGTCAGGAGAAATGCCTCTAGAACATGGCCTATAGCCCGAAAAAACCCACAAGAACCTAGTGATTAAATAACTCAAAAACCACAGGACAAATTGACACCAAATTTGGACAACACACCTGCCAGGCCAACAAGTGACCACCACTCATAAAAACACTGAAAAACACAACAAAGGGGACTTAAAAAGATAAAAAAGCAAAAAGATGCTACAGCGCATGCGCAAAAACGACCCCCCCTGGCAAAAAAAACACGCAGCCGCCTTGAGTCGCCAGTAAGGCTGAGAAAGGTGGTATACAAGTATAGTATATAAATAAGTAACTAATAAATATCCACATTCTCTTCCGGACTACAGCTCCCAGCACCCACTGGATCAGGCCCTTTAGGAGAGGAGGAGGATCCAAATGCACGGCTTCCAAGACGCAAGCTTTCTCCTCATTGAATTTCTTTGAGAGCATTCCAATCTGTACATATTTCCTATTTCCCATTCCTGGACTGCAACTCCCAGCAATCCTCAGATAGATAAGATAAGATTAGATAGAGATAGATAAGTAGTAGATAGATTAGATAGAGATAGATGAGGTAGATAGATCAATCAGAGGACTGCTGGGAGATTTGCAGTCCAAGAATAAGTAGAGAAGGAAGAAAGGGGAGAAAGGGAAGGGAAAGAAAAAGGGGAAGGAGGAAGAGGAAGAGAAGGAGGAAAGAAGGAAGGAAGGAAGAAGAAGAGGAAGGAGGGAAGGAAGAAGGAAGGAGGAAAGAAAGAAAAGAAAAAGGGAGGGAGGGAGGCAAGGGGAGGAAAGGAAGAAGAGAAAGAAAGAAGGAGGGAAGGTTGGCCACAGCCATGTGTGGCGGCAGACCCGTAGCCAGGATTTTGATTCGGGGTGAGCTGAGTTTGATTCGTGGGGGGGGGGGGGCTGAGTCTGAGTGAAAGAGGGTCTACCCTAGCAAACCTTTTGTATCGTTACCCCAATGGGATATATTGAGCATGGTGATCAGATCATGATATGAATAAACATAACAGTTTAAATAATGTACCAGTAAGAAACTTTGGGAATAGCTAGACCTTGGGATCTCTGCCTCTCTCGGGAGCTGTAGTTCTCCAAGGACGGGGAGCAAAGCTTGTTTCCAGAGACACCAGGTCCATTTGGGCCACTCAAGAACTCCTGCCAGGACCTTTGTGCAACACCCTTGCGTTTTAGCCATCCCCTATGGACACTCTTTCCCCCCACATGGACAAACCTTATGAAATCTTGCCTTTTATGAACTTTAGATATATGAAATGTGTTTTCTGATTTCTTTGTGTGGCAGAAGCCTTTCCCCTTTTCTTCTGACCTTTGTTTCCCCTATATACATGAAGAAACTCCACCAAAGGGACTACAAAGCCCCAAACATTCCAGGATTTTTTTTATCCACAACTTCCTTTTGCATGAACAATAGCCTGGGCAGCTGGTGGCCCTCGGAGGAATTGCCCAGCCCTCAGCTTGCCCCTTTGGCAAAAATCTTAATCATATTTCCTCCTGAAGGAACAAAAGGTCCTCGAAAAAACCTTTTGCCTTCGCTCTGATTAACTCAGCTATCTCCACCAAGAAACAATTACCCCAGTCTACACATGTTGATTCATTCCACCCAAAGCACAATAGATCAGGCTGGCTTGAGATTTCTCCTTTGTCTCGCCGGCCACATGGCATTAATTTTTTTCACATTCATTCATAGATTCCTTTGTGTCCTTTCATCCCGCCTCCCTCTTTTCTGATTTGCTATCGCCGCTAGATGGCAGAAGCCTCCCCATTGGACCCTGCGGACCACGGGAGCTTCCTGATTGGTCCGGAGGTGCCAGGGACAGGAGGGCCACCTCCCAGCTGTTTGCCCATTGTCTAATCACAGTGGAGGGCGGCAGGGAGGCTGGGGCGGGAAGTTTGAACTCTGCAACTTTGAAAACTCTATATAAATGGCTGTATCAAATGTATTTCTTTATGCTTACATGTGAATGATCACTGCAATTGCATCCGCTTCAGCTGAATCGCTAATAAACCTCGGTGCCACTTCTTCGCCTTGGCAAGAGTCTCATTTCAATTATTAATATCAATAAAATTGCTGGAATCAGGCTTCTCTGACGGCTCGCCAAGGTCATGGGCCCTCTTTGGTGCGGTCCTAGGGGTCTCTCTTACTGGGGAGACCCTCCTAAAGTCCGTATTGACTTCATTGTGAGTGTGTTCGTGTGTATAAATATGTGTGTGTTTGTGTGTGTGTGTGTGTGTGTGTGTGTATGTATAGAGAGGGAGAGAGCGTCCCTACTTCATGGATTTTCATTTTTTGCAGGTGGTCCTGGAATGTAACACCCGTGATAAGTGAGGGAACACTGTATATTGTTGAATGAATGCAGTTGGGTGCCACTCAACCTGCTATGGTTCAATGCTATGGAACGCTTTTTACAAGGTCTTTTCCTGTCTGCCCTTCCCCAAATTACAACTCTCCAAACAGTATGATTTGAAAGCATTGAGCCATGGCAGCCCAAGGAGTGTCAGTCTGATTGATTCTCCAGTACAAATGCATTCAGGGCAGGAATTGAACAGTCCTTTTGCTGGATCGTAAGGAAGACCAGCGTTATTTGGCCGAAAGTCCCAATGCTCACCTTCCTGTGAGAAGCTGAAGGCCAGGCAGCTCAGGAAGCAGAGTGCAAAGTAGACCCCTGGTCCCATCTTCTGGTTCTTCTGGGGGGGAAAAAACAACAAGCATGAAAAGCTCCCACTGTCTTCCATAGAAGATCATCAACCAGGATGGGATGCTGGATTCATATCTTATTTTTCAGAGCTGAGCTAGAGGTAATCATAGAATCAGAGAATCCTAGAGTTGGAAGAGACTTTCTTGTGGGCCATCCAGTCCAACCCCATTCTGCCAAGAAGCAGGAATATTGCATTCAAAGCACCCCCTGACAGATGGCCATCCAGCCTCTGTTTAAAAGCTTCCAAAGAAGGAGCCTCCACCACACTCTGGGGCAGAGAGTTCCACTGCTGAACATCTCTCACAGTCAGGAAGATCTTCCTCATGTTCAGGTGGAATCTCCCTTCTTCCCTGTAGTTTGAAGCCATTGCTCCATTGTTTCCTAGTCTCCAGGGCATCAGAAAACAAGCTTGCTCCCTCCTCCCTAGGACTTCCCCTGTCTCATATCTTGATACCTGGCCCTCATCATGTCTCCTCTCAGCCTCCTCTTCTACAGGCTAAACATGCCCAACTCTGTAAAGCGCTCCTCATAGGGCTTGTTCTCCAGACCCTTGATTATTTTAGTCTCCCTCTTCCTCTGGACACATTCCAGCTTAGAGTCAACATCTCCTTTCCATTGTGGTGCCCATAATTGGACACAGTGTGGTTCCATGTAAAGTGGTCTGACCAAGGCAGAATAGAACATGGGTACATCCATAGGGAGACCAAGGGGCTTGTTTATAAAGCTATTCCCCTCCCAACCCTGCTATATGCCTGCGAAACGTGGACTGTCTACAGACATCAACATTGGCACTGAAATGCAACACTGCCTGAGCTCTGAGAATGCAGCACTCTTCCAAATGAAGCAGAGAGTGTTTGAGGATTGGGACATCCGTAGGGATACCAAAGTGCTTGTTTATAAAGGTATTTCCCTCCCAACCCTGCTATTCGCCTGAGAAATGTGGACTGTCTACAGACGTCACATGCAACTCCTAGAATTCCATCAACGCTGCCTCTGAAAAATCCTGCAAATCTCTTGGGAAGACAAGCGGACAAATGTCAGCGTGCTGGAAGAAGCAAAGACCACCAGCACTGAAGTGATGGTCCTCCGCCATCAACTCCGCTGGACCGGCCACGTTGTCCGGATGCCCACCACCGTCTCCCAAAGCAGTTGCTCTACTCCGAACTCAAGAACGGAAAACGGAATGTTGGTGGGCAGGAAAAGAGATTGAAAGATGGGCTCAAAGCCAACCTTCAGAACTGTGGCATGGACACTGAGAACTGGGAAGCCCTGGCCCTTGAGCACTCCAGTTGGAGGTCAGCTGTGACCAGCAGTGCTGCAGAATGTGAAGAGGCATGAATGGAGGGCGAAAGAGAGAAATTTGCCAAGAGGAAGGTGTGTCAAGGCAACCTTTAGAAGAGATAAAGCAAATAAATGAAAAACTGACCTGGCTCCAATACAACCAAATATACAAAATTTAAAGAAGATGAAAAAATAGGATTTTCTCAGGATAAGGGAATTTGGGATTTAATAATGCAAAAAGATAAAAAGAATTATTAGGATACTATACCTGGTCAACGGAAGAAGAGCAAATAAAAATTGTCAAATCAAATGGACTAAAGATATAGGACACAATATACTCGTAAAACAGTGGGAAGAAATATGGAACATCAAGATAAAATATACAATTTCCAACGACCTTAGGGAAAATTGGTATAAAATGTACTTTAGATGGTATATCACCCCGGAAAAAATATCTAGATTTAACAAATCCCTATCAAATAGAAAAATGCAAAAAAATTTGGACTCAGATAACTCAGTTCAAAGCAGATATTGTGGGATTTTCTATCTTGATATTTTGGGATATAGGTTTGCGTGGAAGGATCCCAAGACTTTAATATGTATTGCAAGTTAGAATTTTTGTTTTTAGTCAGTTTAGAAGCCAATCTTCTAAAGATTGTCGAAGCTGCTTATATAAGGGGAAAGATTACATATAAACAAAACAAAGTTTTCAAAGGCAGCATCATATACAGAATGTTTCAGAGATGTTAGCAGGTAATGGATCCCGTGACATGAATTATTTCGCATGATCTTTGGAAATGCAAAAAAGAAATTGGTACCTTCTTCCACTCATGGTGGAGCTGTAAACAAATAAGGAAATACTGGAAAGACATACATTTATTAACTCAAAAAATATTAAAAATAAATTTTACTCAGACACCAGAAATGTACTTATTAGGAATATCTAATACAAAACTGAATGAAAACCAAGAAAAAATGTTTTTTCTACTAAGCACTGCAGCGAGAATGCAACTAGCAAAAGTATGGAAACTAAAGGATATTCCAGCAGTTGAGGGCTGGATAATAGAAATATTTGATCTGATTCAAATAGACTGCCTGTCTCAAAGAATGAACAAAGCACCAAGAAAAAAACAAACCAACTGGACAGTTGTGTCCAATTCTGGGCACCACAATTCAAGAAAGATATTGACAAGCTGGAATGTGTCCAGAGGAGGGTGACTAAAATGATCAAGGGTCTGGGGAACAAGCCCTATGAGGAGCGGCTTAAGGAGCTGGGCATGTTTAGCCTGAAGAAGAGAAGGCTGAGAGGAGATATGATAGCCATGTATAAATATGTGAGAGGAAGCCACAGGGAGGAGGGAGCAAGCTTGTTTTCTGCTTCCCTGGAGACTAGGACGCATGGAACAATGGCTTCAAACTACAAGAGAGGAGATTCCATCTGAACATGAGGAA